TTTTTTTCCCATATTTTCAGGTTCACTAGATCGACCAGAATGAGACTATGAGACATATTGTTGTTGTTGTTTTTGGTGGGGACAAAAGCAGAGGCTGTTGCGCAGCCCGTGCGAATTCCAACTTATGAATCACTATCTAGCCGCGGCCCGCGGACCCTGAGATCTCGGGTAAATTGAAGCAACGCTTCCTGGTTCTTGTGAAGTGGAAGCGAAAACACATCTCACTTTGCACGCCAAGCTCATAGACCGTTTCGGCCACTTCTTCGGTCCGAAAGTTGGTCCGAACTGGTTCCAACAGGGGCGAGTGGGCATTTGTTCATTGAGCAGGCCTGAACCCTCAAACTATCCATTAAAAAAACAATTCACCCAGAATTTGGGGGCCATTGCCCATGTTTAAGGGGATTTTGAGTGTTCCTTGGGTCTCAAGGAATGCTTTCCTTCAATTTCCAGTCAACCCGGAACAGTCAGAGGAATAAGAGGGTCCCCCTAGAAATTGTTTTTCTTACTAGCAGGAGCCAGCCCTCAAAACACATGGGTTTCCAGATGAATCCGAAGTTAACACCTACCCCACATTGACATAGCTGGTGGTTAGAAGAGAGCTGCTTTCAGGAGCTGGGGTATCCAAACTTGCTTTCAAAGAGGGATCTGTGAGGAGCTACCGAGAGTTCTGTAAAGGACATGGTAGAATAGCGGTATACCGGTATACCACTCTTCCATTTGCTCAATAATATGTGTTGTTTGTTGGCTTTAAAGGGAATCTACTTCTTCTTTGTTTTTAACTGGGGGCTTAAGCAAATGGAGGAACTCGAGCCTTTTCCAAGTCCCACTGCAAACACGGGCCAAGGCAGCAGATGCAGCAGCAGGCGCTGATGCAGATGCAGCAGGCGAGCGGCGAGCATGCTGCCTGGGGTGAAAAACGGGCGCTGATCAACTAGTTCCCCAGCTAGGGGCCTTTCTACTTTTTCTTTTTTGGGGGAGGGTTCCCCCACTAAAATAGACAAACATGAAACAAGTTGGTACCCTTATTCTAACCTCTCTACTAGGACCTAGTCAAGGTGCCACTGCTTTGGGATTCCGAAAACTCTTTTGGAAACTTCCCTCCCTGGGGTACTTCAGCCCCTTACACCTCAAACACCCTTCTTGAAGTGCGCTTGGACCCTTTAGCTTCGGTGAATGATGTGAAGATGGTGATTAATAGCCTTTGGAGCACCGGGCTTTAGGTTGAACTACATCTCGTGATACCAAGTAATCTGGGGATGGCCATGTTTCCCGCCTCGAGAGTCGATTTTGCGGGTCCTTTGGCAGTTTTGGGTACGAACACCTGGCTGCTATGAAGCTCAATCATTGGTGGACACAAATCCCATTCAAAAAGAGCTCCACAATTAAAATTCATACCCACGTTGCTCTTGTCTCTGTGGAGCTTTCTGTCCGAAAACCGCAAATCACTTTGACTCACAAAGCAGGGTTCCCAAACCTCGATGCTTGCGGTTTTGATGCCATCCCTTCCTCGCTCTGAATTGCTGTGAATTGCAGGGAGGGTTGTGTCGTATTACCACTGGGCCCCTGTGAGTGAAGATTTCGAGTTCGCAAAATTGCTTTTGGAGGTTTTCTTAACACCAGCATGTACTGGGTAGTTTGTTGAGGATGTCACTTTAATGGGCCCAGTACCGGGGTCATTGGTTGCAACTGCGTCCGGGCTACTCTCAGCCCAGCCTCCCATAGCCCGGGAGGTTGCGGGAAGATTGACTGCCCCTCCTTGATTTCTGTAGGGTAGTTATTGAACAGCCCAGTTATCTGTGTGGGAAGCAGCTCCTTCAGTCAGGGGCTAGCCTCGAAATGTTAATGGTACGCAGTAGAAAGTGGAAGGGTTCTGTTGTTTGATTACCACAATTACCTTTTAGGAGAACATGACCCGCAGACACTTTGTTTCACCCTCCCCCAATTCCATCATCCTGGTGGATGTTGGCGGGGAACCAACAAACATCCGTTTCGTTGAGAATAACGACTCTGTTTCTACTTCAAGCTTGGACTCTCGATAAAAGGCCACCAACCCCATTTGGTTTGCGACGCCTTGCAGACGTTGCCGCTGCCGCCGCCGCCCAGCGACGCCCCGCCGAGCGATGAGTCGAATGCCTTAGTGCAGGCCTTGGATCAAGCTGCCCAGGCGGGGTTCGCTTTTAATTGGTTGGACCTTTATGTTGGTTGCCCACGTGTAGTGTACACAGATACTGAGATATCTTGTGTAATCGTTTTGGTTTCAAGCCCCACAGCAACCATCGACTTTTGGTGGCAAGAAGAAAAAGCTGTTTTTTGCATAGGATCTCATTTTTTTGGCGCTCACCGATTCGGGGGGCTTAGGACCATCAAGGTCCATGACACCCCTTGGCTCCCGTTTTCATGGTGTGAGTTCTCTCCTGCCAGGCGCACGCGGATGTGCCGACGCCTGTGCCGGCCCTGCCCCCGCCGCCTCCGGACGAACCGCCCCCTGCGCCCGAGGAAGCGGCGCAAGTAGCGCAGGCGCAGCAGCAGCCAAGCGCTGAGCCCGCGCAGACAGAACCGACACAGGCTGTCCCACCAGCTGCGCAACCGGAGCTGCCTCCACGACAGTCGCAGCCATCGTCCCAAGCGCAGTTCTCGCAGCCAGCGATGTCGCAAGCGCAGGCGCAGGTGCGAGCGCTGGCCTTGGAAGCTCGGCAGGCTGCTCAACAGGCAGCAGCGCAGGAAGCGGTGCAGCAGCAAGCGGCTTCGCAGACGCCAGCGGCGCAGCAGGCGCCATGGCAAACAACGATGCCTCAGCAGCCGGAGCAGACTCAGACGCAGCCAACTGCGGAACCCACCCAGCAAGCTTCAACTGCCCAGACAGAGCCTCAAGTGACGCAGGCTGTCCCGCAACAAGCAGCTCAGCCCGAGCAGCCTCCACCACAGCTATCGCAGCCATCGTCCCAAGCGCAATTCGCGCAGCCAGCGATGTCGCAAGCCCAGGCGCAGGTGCGAGCGCTAGCTTTAGAGGCTCAGCAGGCTGCTCAACAGGCAGCAGCGCATCAAGCGCCAGCGCATCAGCAAGCAGCGGTGCAGCAACCAGCAGCGCAGCAGGCGCAAGCAGCGCAGCAGGCACCATGGCAAACAACAATTCCGCAGCCTCAGCCAACCGCACAACCTACCCACCAAGCTTCAACTCAGGCAGAGCCTCAAGCAACGCAGGCAGTCCCACAAGCAGTTCAGCCTCAACAGCCATCGCAGCCACTGCCCGCAGCGCCGCAGCCGGTGCCGCCGTGGCAAACTGCCAAGCCTCTCGAAGTTCCTAAGGAACCGCCAGTTCCGACGGATGCAGTCCCGGCGTTGCCCGCGCCGGAGCCCGTTGCGACGGACTGCACTGCGGGTGACTAATTAGCTGGAGATCACGGTTAGTGGTATTTGTGGTGTTTTCTAAATTAGGGAGACCGGAAGGGAACTAGCCAGGGAGCTCTAATAATCTGGTTTGGATTCTTTCCATGGACCCTTGTTTCAAAACCGCGGGGACCTCACATTGTTTTTTGTTTTGTTTCTTGTTTAATGTGGATAGCGGCTTTTGGGGCCCTGTGACACACTCTTTTGTCATGGGGAAGCCTTTTATTGGGTTGGCGAAGTGGGGTAATTTACCCACATGTAGCTCCTTCAAACCAAGGGGAGTGTAATAAGTGTATCCGGCAATCGCTTCTCCCTGTTATTAAATGCCGGGACCCCAGCCCGCCCCCACCCCCCCCCGTCCCGTAGATTTTGGGTATTTTGTTGTTGCTCAAAAAAGGGACACAAATAGCTGTTGCCAGTCAACACCCTTTGTTTTTGTTCGACAAGTTTGAATCTGTCCGTTTGCGGATTTTTGCCTGAAAACGGGTATGTATGAATCAGGGTGGATTTAATAAGAGTGGGAAGCGAAGCGACTCGCGATGTTTTTATCAGGGCCACCAGGGCACGTATCTCAAGCGCATGTGGGTTTCGTGGCGGCACGTGAATCTTCTGCAAGAACGCTGGGTGAGCACATTTGCGTATGTGTGTGGCTGGGAGCCACCTATGAGCAACGGATGATATTACCAGTGTATCGGTTACGAGTGGGGCCCCTGTTTAGGGGCCAGCAGGATGGCGAGAAGGCAAAGGATGGCGAGAAGAAGGCGGGAGGGACGTGTGGAGAGGGATGGCGTTGCGAGCAACGGCCAGTTGGTGATTCGGCCCCCTCCAAGGGTTGATTGGTACCCGAAATGGCTCACACCACACATCTGGCCTTGGAGGGCGCTGCACAGAAATTGTTGTTTCAAGCCCAGGGGTCAACATTATCCATGAAGCTACCTGAATTGTCCGGTTCGGCGTTTTTTGTGGGGAAGTTCAGGCTTGTTTTTCAGGGTCCCCGGAATGGGTCGGGGTTCTTCATAGGGCGCTGGGGTAGGGCTGATGCCCTAGTGTCGGATTTTCCGGTTCTCTGGCGGTTGGGAGAGGGCGTTGACCAGTTCACAAGTTACCAGGGGTGTTTAAGCACCTTCCCAGGTGCCAACCCAGCTGAAACACGTGGCGAGGTGTATCGTTGGGCCTCTAAAGGTTGAGTAAAATAGACGTGGTAGATGTGAAGAATGAAGCAGACTAAGTTGAACCAGTTTATCACAATGAAGTAGTTCAAGAAGTTAAACTTGTTGAATGTGTTTCTAAAAGACTCTGAGGTGCTTAAGTACCTTCCAGAAGCGAAAAAGACGGAAATGTCGGGCTTTTGTTTTGGGCGGTCCATTTCCTGTCGGAAAACCTTGTTTGTTTTGGTATCTGGCGAAGGAGGATTCGTCATGGGAGCTTGTTCGTTCATGCAAGTTGTGATTGGCTGTTTTCCAGGTTAGACCCAGCCTCCAATGAGCGAATCTGCTGAAAGAACGCGGGCCAAAAATGGAACACACACACACACTAGCAAACAAAGTCTCTTCCAAAAGGGTTTGTGGGCTGTATATATATATATATGCGGATATAGACATGTATCCGTCATAGCAGGTGCAGATCAACTCTGGAAAGCTTGGGCAAGTCAAATCCTGTCGATCAGGCTCGAGCAGAAACACCTTACATTGTTTGGGACTTGGAGGGTAGCATCAAACCAAAGCCGTGGGAAGTGGGGATTTCTCCCTCGGGTTCCCGGGCCTTGATTCACGTCTTGGGCCATAGTGCCTGAAGGCCCAGGAAGTTTGGAGGTGTGAAAGGACCAGTCCACCCCGGAAAAGCGCCACCACACAGCCGGGATCTGTCTTTCTTTTTTTTTTTTCTTTTTTTTTTTTCTTCTTTTCTTTTTTCCCCCCGGGGTCGCTGGATGCGGCGCTCGAGGCGGCCCCATGGCACCAGAAGCCGACACTGCCACCCCCGCCCAAGGCGGGGCGATAGGATGGTTTCGGTTTCGGTGCTCAGAGCCGCCGTAGTTCACTTGACTGCTAATTATTGGGCAACGGATCTTTAGACTTTAACTTTTTGGTTGAAATACAGGTGGGTTCCGTACTAAGCCCCCAAAAAGTGATTCACTTTTTGCTGGGGGGTCAACAGCAACCAAGTTCAAGTAACCCTTACCCTCCCACCATGGAAGCTGACAGGCGGGTTTTTGGACGACGGTTTTCCATTTGGGAGAGCCCTTTGTCTGTCCGCTTTCCATGATTGGAAAGAGGGTAGTTGGTTTGGATTGCTTTGGGGATTTGAACCCCTGGCATAGCGAATAAATGGGAAACCACCCACTGACCAAACCACCAATTCGAGGGAATCTGAGTAGCCGGGATAGCGCGGAAGGGATGGTGGTGTTGCCAGCCTGTACTATGCTTTAGGGTTTGCGAAAGCCCCGCCCGGCCCCCATATATCCCCGGTTCGTTTTGCCAAGGTGTTCGCTTGGGAAGGGTTTCCTTCTCGCACATGGGGCTTTCCACAGGCCAGGCCCCTCTTGGAACACGACTTTCCTTTCAAGGAAAGGGGCTCTGTAAACTTAAGGCGTCTTTTTTGTAGCTTAATTACTTGTTTCCAAACTCCAAGCTTTTGCATGTAAGTTGCCTGGATTGCTGTAGTCAATTATGGCGCAGCTTGGCAGCTTCAAGCGCCCGTAGTTGTCTCTATCATTCTAGGACCGATCCAGTCAACTCAGGTCAGCCTTTGCAGCGATGATGGACTCGGGTCTGTTTGCCGCCGCCTGCGTTAGTTTTATCCCCCTTTTCTGGAACAGGACTGTCTTCCAAGGGAAAGTAAACGACGGAGTCCCCCAATTCCAAATCTTTCGCGGTGGGGGGGATTTTGAGAAACCCTGGTTCCATGGTGAACACATGTCCTTTTTCGGGGCAACCGCGGCAAAGTCCCTCAAATTTTCCGTGCCAGGCGGGCGGGCATTGGCCCAGAGCCTCAGCGGGCTTCCGGATTTGGACCCAAATCTTCCAGTGCCATTGGGCCATTTTGGGGACTCCAGTTTTTGAGCAACCATTTGCTCAAGAGTGTTGTTCATGTCCCCTGTCGGTTATGGAGAGGGATTGCATCACCGGAAATATGATTGCAGACTTAAGCAAATTGAGGAGTTGGTTGGTCTCCTTTTTGTTCTTCCCCTTTGAAAGCCAACCCATAGGGGCCCCCGCCAAAAGAAACATGTGTCTCCACCATCGCTCCAAAAGGAACCTCATCTAAGCTGTTGTTTAAACGGGCGGAAAATGGAACTATAGGGACCGCCTGGGAATGTTGAGAGGTTCGACTGGGGGCCATGGTTGGGAAAAGCTGGCTGTTTGGTGCCACTTTCCGTAGTACCAAGGACATGTCATGGGCATGGGCCCGTTTTGCGACTCATGTTCCACCAATCGAGTCATTCAATTCACTACCAAGCTACCATACGCGACGAACGTTTCAAAGCTCTGGGTTTTACATCATGGTTCCCCTGGTTTTTATTGGGCGATTCTAGGGATTGACCAAGTTTCAGTGCCCACATTCTTTTGGCTGTGCTCACTCGAGCCAAACTGATGTTCTCCTTCCCACCAAAATCCGGGGGCCCAACGTTCTTTTGGAAACGAGGTGATGTTTATTCTCGGGATCTTTGAGACACCGTTGATTTCGATCTGAGGGATGTGGACCCTGGAAATCGGCGTTTTGGGTTCCAGCTACAGGCCCCCACCCTCAAATGGCCGTGGCTTAACACACGGCACCCAAAGTTTGGCATGAAACCAACGACGAACACCACCTTTGCGGCTTGCCCCGGGGGAAAAAAGAGAGAAGAAAACGATCCCGAAGAAGAAAAAAAGTGACAAAACAAAGAACGGAGCCGAGGCAGCCGCCGGCCCAGGAGCCCGCCAAGGTGGGGAGGTGACCAGTAGCTCCTGTCATTTGGCACGTCAGATTGCCGGCCAAGGGGACCAAACGTCCGGATGAGCCCAAGGTGACCAAGCTCAGTTTTTTTTACCGGGCTTCAGTTCTTGTATTTCAAATGCCAGATACATTTTATTTTATTTTTTACGGATAGACTTAAGAGATACCCCTGCTTCAATTAAATATGCGTTAGGGTGTATTGAGGAGACATTCCTCCTGTTTCAGGCAGGGTTGACATCATGGAGCTAGACTAAGGTATTGGGCGTTTGGCTGTACGGTTGCTTCCGGGTCTCAAGGTCGAGTGATTCGAAGGCCACCCCTTTGCGTGAACAACCTTTTCAGGCTGAAAGTAGATTAAGAGATACCCCTGCTTCAATTAAATATGCGTTAGGGTGTATTGAGGAGACATTCCTCCTGTTTCAGGCAGGGTTGACATCATGGAGCTAGACTAAGGTATTGGGCGTTTGGCTGTACGGTTGCTTCCGGGTCTCAAGGTCGAGTGATTCGAAGGCCACCCCTTTGCGTGAACAACCTTTTCAGGCTGAAAGTAGATGGCACAAATTTCACCTTGTCTTGTAACTTATGCGGATTACGAGCGACGACAGCGAAGCCATGGCTCCTTAGGAATTTTGGCAGGCTCCTCAGCGCTTTTTTGGGTTCTTGCTGAACCCTCTCAAGAGTCACCGATCGGAGTGAAACTCTGAAAATACACCTTTAAAGAAGAGCCTTAGTAGAGCAAGATATGGCTGTGGGTCAAAACCAATGGGATGCCATTTTGGGGTAGGTGAATTTCACCACCCATTTTAGAACCTATTTTAGCATTGGGATGTTCACTGGGTACGATGTGGCTTTTGACCCATGGCCATATGGAATTACAAAAGCGCCTTTTCACTTGCCACGATTGCCAGGGTCAGCTGACTGGCCAGCAGATCGATGAGGCACCGGCGCTGAATTTGATCCAAGTGGGGAGTATACCCGGTTGAAAGCGCAGGTCCATGGGAGATGTTGTTGCAGGTGTATTATGGTCGCGCATATGATGTAGATTAATGTATGTATAATATACATATATACACATATACAGAAGTACATGTACTTGACGTCCGATGTTTCCAGTATTGGCATGGTTGGGTCATGCACACCTTTGAACATGAGAAATAGGAGGACAGCGCTTCACATGAAAAAAGTACAACATCCACCCAGTTTGCGCAAGTGTTAGATAATTCGCTAACAAGCATCTGACACACTGAAGCGTGCTGAAGCCTTTGAAGAAAAGCTCCTGTTTGGCTTGCTCCAAGTAAACGTCTGCCGGACTCAGCGTGCATGCCGGTTTTTTGCTTACTCAGAGCAAGCCCCGAGATCGCACTGAACACATCCATGTGCATGGCAAACTGCACTCGACCGAAGAATTCCCAAGATCGGGCATGCCTTTGATATCCTGCCGACATACATCTACGGGTTGCCAGTTTCTCACTCATCTTGGGTTTTGTGGACCCGAGATGCAAGTTGGCCCAAAGTGTATGTGGGCCCATGGCTTTCCTGTGGACAGAGCCAATGAACAGGGATAGGCAAACGGTATATGAGGAAGAAGCCCGACCTGCACCGATAGGAAGTGTACCCTCACGGTCCATGAGTGGATTTCGGGGCTCCAGAATCACGAGTGGTTTGAGGCCCCCGGGTTCTGCATGCCAAGGTAAGGGATGATGCCAAGCCCTTTGCCCATCCCAGTGATGACCTCTTTTCCTTTTTTTGGGAGGTTCCCTTTAAACCTCAACCAGCCAACAAAGGATGCCCTTTTTACTCCTTTTCTCATGGCCACTGGGCATCTGAGTCTACGGACATGATTTACAGGGCTCTGTATTTTCTGTGGACAGAGTGCCCGATGCCCCCCCCCACAGCCGAGAACCTTGAATCCCATGTAGACAAAACGCCCAGGAGTTTCATTGGCATGAAAGATCCCTTTTCTGTTTGATGGGCTCCAAACCAAAAAAGAGGAGTCGATCGACCCAAAACCGTGCCCTTGTTCTACATTTCGGGTCACTGGGCGACTGGGGGTATTTTCATTGGTTTCTACTGGCCGATGTGGCGGAAATCGATTCCCAGGCGTGTGATAGCTTCTGAATGAATTATAACGACTTCACACGACCGAATTCACCCCAAATGGTGGTTTATGTGGGGAATGGCCCCCCAACCACCGCATGTTTCAGGCTGGTGAAATATTATGATTCACCCAGAAGCAGCTTTCCCCTTTTCCGTTAGGGGCACAAGACTGGGAAACACGCATTGACAGGTGATTACGAAGCTTCAGAAGGCGCGGAATTTGGGTTGGATTCCAACTCCCTGACTGCTGTAATTATACTTGAGAGGGGTCCAATCTGTTGAAGGCCCCCTGTTGAGGCGCAATTCCCGGTGTTTCCCTTGGTGTGGAAAAGGAACATAATGTCATGTCACCAGTGCCTCATGATTTCCAGTCACTCGGGATATTTATACGTGTATTTATATATAGACTTCCAAACAAATCCCTAAGAGTGCTCCGAACCATCTTCCAGGATAGGATCCGAAGGATTTTGGTGGCTTGAGAAGCTTTTTGGGGCCTCATCGATATTCCGTATTTAGGGTCCCCAGTTATGACCATGGGTAACTTAACCCATGTGAGTTTTTGAAACATCATCTTTTTCTCGTGGCTTTCTTTTTTCAACGGTCCTGCCAATGCAAAGGACCTAAGAACCATTGGACCTGTTTTGTGCTACACTCAGAAGGTCAGCGTGTCCAAAGGCACCCTGGCAGTTGCCAATTCGTGTGCATTGAAATACCGTTCCGGCGCGGGACCTGTTTGCCAATCAGAGGAATGCATGGCAACCCCAAACAGTCTGATTCCAGAAGGATTCCTTTGCACGTGGATGTGGGTTGTGATGACAATGTGAGTTCTCCGAAATGAGATTCCATTGTTGCATGGATGCGACGTGTATGTGTTGTTTTGTGTTTACATGTCCTCCAACATGAGATTTCACTTCACATGTGTGTTTCGCGTTTTCTGACAACATTGTCGCCCTGGAAAAGGATTCCCGAGAAAGGTTGCCACTAGTGGTCTAAAAAATCCATACGACTGATTCCTCAAATGCGAGTAAGCCAACCACAAACTCTGGAAGGTCACAAGTCCTCACTTGCTCCTCGCAATCCTTCGTGCATCCGAATTCCCGCAATCTACGTACAGGTGGTGTCTTTTTGGAGTCAGTACCCCTTTTTTGGTGGGTGTTTTGCCGTGACAACCAGAAGCCGAAAACCGAAGCCTTTTTGGGGGGGTCCGATCCCAAAAAAAACGAGGAGCCCTCCCCCCCTGTTTCCATGACAGGCGGGGGTGGAGCTGGACTTCGTGGCCACCCAGGCCTAAACACGTCAGTCGGTCAGTCGTCCGGCGCCTGTTCGGGTGTACCCCCTGGTAGGATGTAGGGTTGTAGGGCACTTTAAAGTTACAAACTAGTTTGCGGGGATGGCCCACTTTTGTGATACGTACCAACACATGGTCTTAATTCGCACAACGGAGGTGTCTCCTCAGATGATATGTTGCATGTTACGCTGGCTGGCATTGGCTGATTATGGACCAACATCCGAACATGATATGCACGCCCCAGAGTTGGACCGGGCTAGATCAGTGCTAATACGTTCCTAGGATCATCGCATTTTGAATTCGTATATGTCGGCAACTCTGAAAATGGGACACCCCAAAATGGTTTGCCTTCCTTATTGGCCGTTTGAAACCGCCAACATATTGGCACCAACTAATGCAACAAACCTGCTTAGGTGATATGTAAGTGGGGATGGGCAGAGAGGTTTAGCCCATGTCCGATTGACGAGCTTGCAATCTGAGTCAGTTGGGTTCATCCAACCTACGCTGAGGATCATTTGTGAGGATCCAACAAAAATAGTCAGGTCTGTTAGGCAGAGTTTGGCAAATTAAACAACCAGGGCCTGGGCCCCTTGAAAAGAAAAACCCACAAGCAGCTTGTTGTAAGGGGTTGGCCCCACCCTGCTCTTTGGGTGCAAAGAAGAAGCAAGAAGCGGGTTCGGTTTGCTAGATATGGACTAGACGTTCCCCTGCAAGGAGTCCCCATGACTCTTTAGGGTCATGCACACCTGCTGTCATTTTGCGACTAACTGACTGTGCTCTTTTGCCCTTTGCCCCTTTGGGTTTCCTTCATTTACCTGTTAACCAACAACGAGTGTTTGTTTTTTGCACAGGGTATAAGTCCGTTTGGCCAAGTTATCGTGGTAAATGGAGTCATGTCAGTGAGCCAAACCCTTGGCGTGAAAGCCTTGTATACAGGTACATGTACAGGTTATAGTGGTTTGCTTTCATTCTGGTTGCGTTTGAGGTGGTTTGGTAAGGGTTATAGTGGTATATAGTGGTCTTTCTTGAACCCCTGCGGGTTTCTTCTTACCAGCTTTGTACCATATTTGTTTTGCGTTATACCTACTATAGTGATTGGTATTGGGTTGGATCTTTCGACTTTGACTTGTTGGGAAATCGCGGGCTTTCCGAATTGGACCCAGACAATTTCAAGCTTTTTGGAGAGGGGTCAACAGCAACTAAGTTATGGCACCCACGTGCCCAGTGGCAACTTGTTGTTCCTTTCTTTTGGGGAAGGGTTCCCCTTCCAACTCAACCAACCCCAGAAAAGTCAGATGCTGTTTTTTTCCCCATGGGAATCCAAAAAGATCGGATGCCGTCTTTTTTCCCATGGGAAATCCCCTGGGCGCGTCTGCGGACCGAATCCCCACGGGCGGCGTCTTCGATTCGATTCGGCAGGCGGTGGCGACGCTGCTGCCGCAGCAGGCCCTCGAGCTGCTGCACTTCGTGGCGGAGCGGCGTCGCGGAGTCGCGGACGACTGCGATGGGTGTGCTAGGTAGGTCCCCCAGCAGTGCCCTTTTACCCTGTTTTGGGGGAGGGTTCCCCTACTAAAATCGACTACCGAAAAAGTTGGTACCCTTATTCTAACCTTTGTGGGGTACCGGGGAGGCAAGCCCTGTTTGTGAAAATATGGTGGGGGCCCCTTGAAAAGTGATGAACCCCCACTAAACCCAGGGACACCCCCTAGTAAGAAAGAGGGGCTGATTCATGTGCGGTCAACATCACGCATGTTTTGGGTAGTTTTAAAGGGACACCCAAAGGTTTTTGTTTGCGTTTTTTTTTTGGTTTTTTTTTTTTTATTTTAAAGAAAGCCCACGATCTTGGGACCGAAAAAGCCCACGCCCATGTTTCCCGTTTTGCCGTCTTTATGTTCATCAGCTTCTGGGCCGACTGAACATGTGTTTTTTTTTTTGGACTCATTGGGAGCCCTTTTTGTTTTCGCACGAATCCTAACTGAGGCGTTTGTTTGTTTACCTTTGGACCTGCGGCTTGGGAGTTTTGTCTGGAGCCGGGATGGAGATTGCAGCAGTGTGAGTAATTGGTGCAATGGCTTCTGAGCAAGTGGTCCGATTTTTGGTTCGGATTCGGATTGAGTCTGCCAAGGCGAGGCATTTGAAGAGTGGGAAAGAACTTAAGGACTTTGATGGATGGATTATGGATTTGGCCAGATTCAAGTCCTGGAATGTCGCTTTTAAGGGTTTGAGAAGGGGGGGTGTACCCGGACCTTCAGTTGGGGGAGGGGGGGTTCTTGGTTTCAACTTGTGTTTCTCTGGGATTTGCATGTGCAGGATGTGTTGACGTTGGGCTCACAAAATATGGGCCGGGTCAAACATATGCGTTTCGGAGCCGGGAAACTGCTGAGGGGTGCCTTGAGATCCTCTTGACTCGGGACGGGTTGATGCGTTTTCTCAATCCACCGGCCCAAAATGGGATCGGGGGTTCTTGCATTTGGGCACAAACCCGGGAGCCATGTTTCAGCATTCAGAGTTTCCGAGAGCCAACAAAGTGTTGGCAACAACTTGAGTGCACTGGATCTGACCTTGGAATTTTCCCGTGTTGGTTGATTTGTAGTCACGACCCCACAGGTGATCTGCAGGTTTGGGGTTTAGGTCTTGGGGGCTTAGGGCTGGTTTTCTTTCGGCTTTTCAGTCCCCAGGCAATTGCAGTAGGATTAGTCCGTGTTACGCGTGTTCAACGATCACAACTTTGTCTGGCAGCCAAGGCGAATTGACCGGTTCTAACGCTTCGGTTTCCACGTTCCGCAGCCATGTTGAAACGATGTTACGACAAGGTGTTCTGTTTCCTTTTGGTGGTTATTGATGTTTTCAGGTTGGAAGGTGCCGCAAGCCAAGGGGCAACAATGAGCAGTATTTGAAACTGGGCCCCTTGACCCTCTGGCGGTTTGAAGGGAAATACACCCAAGAAAACAAATAAGAACCCTTCCACATGTCGTTGACTTTCAGGGAGCCGGAGAAAATGGCGCAAGATCACACTTGAATTCAGGCAAAAAGAAGGCTGTTCAACCCCCCCCCCCCCCCGCTGTGGGGGATCATGACGACATTTCCAACATAACATCCCCATTACCCGGCAAAGGACCTGCAAGCCAAGACTGGCCGTTTTTGGTATCCTCTGGAATCGCCAGGAATCAGTCAGGTGAAACACACTCGGGGCTATCAATCGAAAGGGCCACCTGCTTGCAAGGAAGCCCAACCAAATGGACCGGATTGTCAACTGCGGAGAGCGGGCCTTGTTGAATCCGGGGGTGTAGTCGCTTTGTTCCAATCATAGAAGTAGACAGGCAGTCTTTGTGGGATGATGGTAGTCTTCCAACGCCCTGTGTCTTTTCATGATGCGTAGGCAGGGGGCATTTGTCTCGAACATGGCCTTGAGCTGAAAATACTTCCCTAGGACAGACGGGACATGATTGGTAGAGGGTATTTGCCTCAAACAGCGTTTCCTACAATTCTCGTGCTGGAACCTCCGGAATTGGCAGTTTCAATGCTAATAAATTGCAACTTTGGAAGGGGAAATGCAGTGAAACCTGTCAAGAGAGGGGCAAATTCGAAAACCACAGTGGTTGGCCTTTGGTTTTCTGACGAAGGACAACCGCGCGTGGCTGCCCAACCCGTCATTCTTCATCGCCCAAAGCGTTGGACACCCAGACAGGTTCGCTGGATCACTCACTGAGCCAACCACATGGCTACGTTAAAACGAGCCTTATTCTGCACAAAACTCAGGCAAATCTTCGGAACTCATAGGGTTGAAACCGGTTTCCTTGGTTTTCCCTGTGGATGCAAGTGGAGCATTTTTTTCGTCTGAGCTATAGCTGCGCAACAGGAACCTCACAAAGGCTTAGGCGTTTTACCTGGGACCTCACAGGGAGGGTGTATAGCTAGCTGCACCCCCAAATGCTTCAGCCCGATGCAAATCGTCATCCATATTTCCTACCCATGTCAAAACCTGGCTCACCTGCAACCAGAGGCGCTGGAAACACATTCACTAGAACTGGTCGCCAATATGGGAACTAGGCCAAAAGGTATGACATCTTCATTAGCAAGCACCAACACCTGGAAGGGTCTCCCCTTCTTTCATGCTATCCTCCTTGCCTTTGAACAGTACCTCAGGTCGTTTCGCTGCGGCAACTCAATTGAATCGGCCAACCCTGAAATCGGAAGACGTCTCGATTTCGCCAACCTAAACAAGTTTGCTCTAGATTCGCTCAAACAAGCCCCTAGGGTAGATAGTTGGTCCATGCAACGAACAAGCAAAGGACACCAACATAGGTCGGATTCATTGGGTCCCAACCCAACCCTTAGGCATTCTTTGCCGGCTGGACTACCATCCCCACAGTGTTTGTGTTGCACCTTCTTTGGCAGGGGGTAACGGATCTCCGGTAAAAAGTATTCCATGGTAGAAAAAGACCCCTCCTTTCTGGGCTGGGCTTGGCTATCTGGCGGTTTTCGTCTCGTCCCTTGAACAAGCCAAGGGGCTAACTCAACAAAAAGAACCCCGGAGTCGACGCAGCCAAAGGCACAGTGCAAATTTCCTTTGGTTCTTTTTTCGAACATGGGCGCTAAGGGTGCTAAGGCTTCCGGGTTGACAGTCATAAGAACACTTAAGATTTTTTGATGTTCGCTTTTGGTTTTGAAGGCAACTTTGCCTTGCCTCCCTTCCCATTTTCAGCTGGGGGCGACTTGGTGACATTGAGAGAGCTGTTTGAAAGCTTCCCTTCCCTGCAGGTCTCAACCCAACTCCAAATACCCACTTCTTGTTTTTTGGCTTGTTCGGAAATGCATGATTTTCCCTTGCCCAATACCTCATGTCTTGGTCGCTTGACATCATACCGCATACCCCGGTGCTTTTTTTTTCCATGGGTCTTTGGACACGTTAGGTTGGGATTCACGTCCAAGCACCTTGAGGAGGGTACCACTCTTGAAGTTCATACCCAAGTGTTTATGTGGTGGGTCAGTCTTAAACATCAGGTCTCCGGTGGCTGTGTGCTGCCAGGCAGGGGGGACTCCGGTGTCCCCAGGATTTTTCCCCTAGGTTTTTTGGGTAGTGAGGGGATTTCAATCGGGACGCCTGGTGTGTTTTGGGAATTTGGGTGTATTTTTGGGTGGTTGGTCTCACTCGCACTCCTCGACTTGAGTCATGATGAATTGGGTCAGTTGCAAAGTCTGGGCACTTTGGTTTCATGGGAAGTGAGATCATTTCTCCACATCCAAACATGCGTCCTAAGTTGAGATGGCAACAGATGGAAGCGCCTCAGCAGTGGTTGGAGGATATGAATTCACACCAAAATGAAAACCACCAAAGGGTCCCCCTATTAGAGTTCCCTCCCGTATTAGACATATGGGTGTGTTATTCTTGGCGAGCCCCTCTGGTTCTTTGTAAGGGGACAGCGAGAGTCAAACACATTTTTGGTCCCGGCCGCTCCCGCTCAAGGGACCAAGTCAGACCAAATCCCAAGCATCCACAGAATTCGCCACCTGGAGCCATGGGAGGGTTGCCCACATCCAAACCCGCTGGACTTCGAAAGGCGGAGCAAACCTTCAGAAAATCGGAAACCATCACTTGTTACTACTAGTCGACGCCTTCTCCGCCTCTTAGCTGCCCTCGCGAGGCAGCTAATCAATCAAATAGGCGTGGCTCAAATTTAAACAGGAGGGGTTACGCTGGTTTTGGTCACTGACAGTGGATCAGTGGCATCAGCGTTTGCAAACCGATGCGGGGTGATCCGAATCTCCCACTCCGAACGTGTTCTGAGGCACCTGGAGGTCTTCTTGGGCACACGTCCCTCCCATCCGCCGTTAGAGCTCTTACAAGTCGAAAGTTCAGCCGTGCTCCACTCCTTGCACGCATGCTGCTTGAGAACCGTGTTTCTGAGGAGGCCCAGAGATTGTTTTCCCCTTTCTCCTTTGGAAGTGCATTGTTTCTGTCGTTCCCTCATGCCAAGTGTTCCAAGTTTAGTTTCAGTTGCTGGTACTTATGATGTACAAGTGGCGGCCACCCTCCCAGAACCTAAAGCCCATGGGCTTTGGGGCGCTGACTTGCTGACTTGAACCTGTTGCTTCCAATGAAAAAACTGGAGCTCGCTTTGTAAAATGGTTGGTCTCCTTTCGTCCGCGCGGGTCCCCCAAAACACAAACTCTCACGTGAGCAGTCTGGGATCTCGATCCCCTCAAACAAAGAATCGGAGCGTCAGCTCTGCAGGCGTCTATGCTGCTGCCCAGTCCGGCTGAAGCCTGAGGCTCTAATCAAGTCAGGGACCGAATTGGAAAGACGCCAGCTAAAATACAGCACAAAATCGTGTTTTGCTTGTTTTAATTCTTGGTTCGTTTAGTTGTTTTGATAAAACAACATAAACATCATGTATTTGTGGCTCCAGTGTTTGGATTCCTTCGTTGTCCCTTTCAACCAGCAGCAAGTTGACACGTGTTGCAGAGGGATCGGATGTGTTTTGCCAAGATACTTGGTGCCTTCTTGAGGTTTTTTTTTCTAGCAACAAGTGGTTGTTCGTCCGAGGCGAGGCTCTTTGGTTGGATCTTTAACCCTTTGTTTTTGCTTGGGGATTGTGTCTGGTTTTTGCAGTTTCTGGGCACATTTTTTGGGACGACCATTTTCAAGGTAAACAAACTTTCTCTTGGCCGATTCACCCAGGAAGCGAGGTGCGCGCTTCCCGGCAGCCAAGATTTGTCGCGGGGCAACAGCCACAAAGGTGACCTATATTGTTTGGAGCCCAGAGAGGTTTCAGAGCTGTTCTACGATTTGATATGCCGCTTCATGTTAAACCTTTTGCTGGGCGGGCGGTTGGGGTGCCGAAACTCTGAGGGTCATGTCAACGGTTTTTGGGCTTATGTTTCCCTGTGTTATTGGGAGGGGATCTAGGTTGCAGGAAAGGTGCCTCCTCAGCTTTTCGCCCCTTTGCCCTCTTGGTGTTCCTTCATTTTTCCTTTTCCAGGGGATCTAAGTCTGACCAAGTAAGCCATTGGGTGTGGCTCGGAAAGTTGCTAGGGTTACGCAATTTTCAGACTTCTGTTTCTACCAAGGTGGCATTTTGGGTACCATGTTTTGAGCCACAGCCATTTTTGCGCACTTGGAGGCTGCAAATAGAGGCGAGGATGGCAAACCCGGAAAAAAAAAAGAAAAAAAAGAAAAAAAAGAAAAAAAAAAAAGAAGAAAAAAAACAACTCACGCCGAGGCGGCATTGACCCCGTCACCATGGAGCGCTTGCTGCGGGCGGCCCAGGTTTCATTCGTGCGAAGGGACCTTCAGCTTCCCAGTCCTTTGACTTCCAGCCGGACCTTGAGCTTGGGTCGACTGTCTCACTTCCCAAGGTCTTAAGACCACTTTCAAGGTCCCCCAGTGGTGCCCTTTTACCCTTTCTTTTTGGGGGGAGGGTTCCTAAAATAGACTACAGAAAAAGGGTACCCTTATGCTAACCTCTCTACTGGAGGACCTAGTTTCAGTGGTAAACAACAGGTTTGGACTTGTTTGGCCGATCTACTCGGCAATTGAGCTGTAGAATGGCCAATGCACTCAGAAAGGTCGGCATATGGGTATGTGTCAACCGCAAAAATGAATTTCGGGTGTCCATTTAGTTTGCCTTTGAACCACACAACCGGAAGGTACCCTTTAAAAAAAAAGCACACCCATACGTTGGTAAACCAGGTCCCAGCCTATCATAGAGACCTACCTCCCTCTCCAAAAACGTTCTCCTGAGACTCTTATTGCCCAGCCTTTTGGCGCCAAAGGAACTCCCTTCAGTTTCCCCGAGCTATGGGCTAGGTGCAAACCAAGCCGGCAAGTCATCGCTGGTGTCCGGTTCCTTTTGACAGCTCTCAGCTGTTGCCTTCGGTAAAGAGGACGCCCAGAGTCTCCTTGTGTCTTTTGGGTCATACCCAAAAGTTTCTGAGTGATCCCATGTGGGGTCATAGGAACAGCAACCCCAACGAAAAGGACTAGTATGGAGCCCCGGCGAAGACAAGTTGCCCGTTCACCCCTGGCAGGCTCCCAGCAAGGGTACCCTCACCGCAATGAATCAATGGCAACTTGGCATCCTGGACAACTGTCAAAAAAGGTACATGCCAAGAGCATCAACAATTGTTCTGTTTCGTTAGGGATGTTGGTGGGTTTTTGGCAAGACGAATCCCTGAAAACGGTTGAAGGTTACCCCAGGCAAACCGCAACAAGTTGAAACGAATGGGAAATTAACGTGGGTTCTTGTTTGGTTTCCCTTTTAACCACCCCACGAGAAACCGCAAACTCCAAAAAGAGCATGTCAGATAGCAATAACAACTCTACACATAATTTTGTCCGCGTACACCATACTCTCAACAAATGCAACAATGAATCCATTCCAAGAATGGAGTTCAAAACCAGAGGTCCCGAACCCAACTCCAAGCCCCAAACCCCAACTCACTGCCAAAGGGATATTTACAATTGGGGAACAGTTCTTTCCCTACCTATACCCCCAAGAAATACTATATATATATACACACACATACATAACATGTATATACATTCACATTGTGAGTTGTAATCAATTCAGGATTACTCTCACAAAACTCCCGCAAATCTGTTGGCTCGGATTTTGGGGATTTGAAGCCCTGGTAGAGCTTGGGACGGGGACGGGGGAAGCGGAGGCTGAAGGCGCAGCAGGTGGGGCTGGCCCTCACCAACGAGGCGCTGACGGCCCTCTCAGGCGACCCCCGCGATTCACGGACTGCTCGACTTGTTGTTGTTCTTTTGTTCATACGGGTGGCTCGTTTTTTGTTCTATTATTTGTTTTTTTTGGTTTGTTTGTTTTTTTTTTGGGGGGGGGAGGGACTTAGTTTTTTGTTTAATGCGGGTGGCTCATTTTGGCTCTCTTTTTTGGGGGGAGGATCCCTCGGCTTTTTTTGTTAAGATGTGGCCCCCGCCCCCGCCCCCCCCAAACATGGTGTTGGATTCCTTTCGGTTTCCGTTTCAATACAAAAACAAGGGGCGCCCTCAAAAAAATGAGACGCCCATGTTGTTTCGGTGCTCGCTGGCTGGTGCGTGGCGGGCAAATGAGTAGGACATGGATGACCATTGACTTACACAGCAAACGGGCACAATGGATCCAACCACCAGCCAGATAGGCTAGACTGCTTAAAGTTGGGGGAAAGTCAGGAGGATAGCACGTTTTCCGTAAATGGAGCTACATGGCGCAAGTCCAACGTTGTGATCCCCTCCCGGATATCTAAAAAAGAAAAGGACTAGCATCTACTTCCAGCAGCTTGCGCAGTTCGGGCTCTGAGTGATTTCCGGGACTTCAGACACGTTTTGGTGGATTGTGGTAAACAAGCTGTTTGAGCTTGTTTTGACTAATCCACTCTGGATTCTGAGTGTTTGCCAGACTTGGCTTGACCTTGAGGAATTGTTTGGCCTAGGCCAAGGCTTGACAAGTCATTGATTGGACGAATTGAATGAACGCAAGCTACATATGTAGGATGACGTGTTCTGGGATTCTAGATTTTGGTGCTTCCACTTTCCCTTTCAACCAGCTCAAGCGGGAGGTTCAGTCTCTCAGTTGACTTGTTGCAGGGTCGAGTCCGTCCCGTGGCCTGCTGTGTTCTGCTCGTGTTTGGTTGGGTGGTCCCAGCAAAGCGGTTTCCCTTTAGACTGGACCAATTTGCCTTTTCTATGCAGCGATTCCACCGATCTGGGAAACAGATGTAGGTCCTTGAGGATCCATTCCTTTTTTTCAGGTTTTGGAATTCTGAACAATGGAATTTCAGGTTTTGGAATTTCATGTTTTTTTTTTCAGGTTTTGGAATGGGAATTGGAGGGGGATCTCAACATAGGTTTGCCAGGTAACCCCTTGAAGCCCCCCATCTCTCTATGGATGGCTTTCAAATTCCGTGCCTTCCATGTTCGGATCCCGAAAGAGTTCGTGGACTTGGACGATCGGACGCCTCTCTGCCTTATACCGGTTTTTTGTGGGTAGGCACCCCCAAATGGTGGTGTTCCTTTTGATTTTCCCATAACACCGCGTCACAAGAGTGGTACCAACTCAAACAAAGACAGCCCCAAATGTGATCTAACACAGAGCAAAGACGGGCTCGCATCACAAGGGGGGGGTCCCTAAAACGCGACGCACCCAAATATGGCCATGGGTCAAAATCCCGTACTTCCAGTGAACATCCCAATCCCCCAAAATAGACCAAAATGGGACCTGCCCCAAAATGAGATCCCATTGGTGTTGACAACAGCCATATGTGTTTTGCGGGTTCCCTTGAAGCCCATGTCCCGGGGGTCTCTGAAGAAAGGACGTTCGTTTGTCCAGGCCTCTCGCCCGAGCAAGCGGCGGAGCTTCTCGAGTTCGTGCTCGAGAAATCCACGGAGCGGGGCCTTAAGTTGTGTCCATGTCTAGTTGACTTGCCTGGTGGGGCGACAGCTAGCGGGGAGTCCAAGCAGGCTGTAAGACCAGATCTTGGCAACGATGCTGCAAGGGAGTTTAATGTTGACCCCGGATTGGTAAACGCCTGTTGGTTAATATGGGGGTGTTCCCCTCCAAAAGTGATAAATCCTCACTAAAACCAGGGACACCCCCATATTAATAAACAGGGGTTTATTAATCCGGGGTCAACACTAGTGGTTTCTGACATGGAAACTGACGGATTAAACAGTTGGCCAAGACATAGCGACGCCACATTGCCTTTTAGTTTGCGAGTGAATTGACCAATGAGGAAGGTTGCTGTCATCGAGATTTGGTTTGTTCAATTGACTGCGAACTAGAATTGCGCAGGTAGCATTGTTGGCCTTGGAGAAAAGGCAACCTGGCGAACAAACCACAGAGTCCTGCCAATGCGGGTCCCGCGAATGGGACACCATGATACACCCTGACATGGATCCACTTCCTTCCTCAGTTAGTGGACTTTGGACAGTTCGGCAATGCCGTGTGGCAATCAACAGTTTGGGGACTTGTCAACCAATCTACAGTCCACCAGGACAAACCCTGCTGAGTGCGTTGCCTGTATTGATTCTGCCTTTGGCTCCAAGCGCAGCCGCTTTAAGCTCGCCCTCAGTGTAGCGTCCCCTCTTGCCAATGCCGTGGATTTGTACAGAGGCCGAGCGCGACTGCATCCGAGGATGTCTCGGAAGCAAAGGCAAGACGACATGGAGCGATTCAGCCATTATCCAGTGCGGCAAGATTGCAGTTGCAGGCGCTCTTGGGACCGGGCGCTTCACCCCCCTGTCAAAATGTGCAGCAACCTCCAGCGGGCGGTCCTTTCAAGTGGGCCATAGCTCAGCTTGTTTGTGCCAAGCAAATGCAGAAAGCAAGGGTTGCCCAACTTCCTTTAGGAGCACCTTTCGACTCTAGGGTATCAATAGACTTCGTTTAAACGCGCCATGACATGGTTGAAACAAACGCATGGCTTATGTATCATGTTTGTCTAAGCCGCTTTCAAACAAACCCTAACACGGGCAGTCTAATTCGTCCTTCTTTTTTTTTTACACCTGCACCATCCTCACAAAGCCTCAGCATTGACCTGACTCTTGCAGAGTAAAAACGTTGAGGGCATTCGTTTTTATGTTTGACAAGTTTATCCCTGGCAGGTTCTGCAATGGGCGGCGCCCTAGGGGCATCGGCAGGGCTGACTGTGGATGCGGCATCCAGCGGGTTGACATGCGGATGCGGCACCGTGCAAGGCGGGACTTGATACGTTTTGGGATTGGACCAGTTCACAGGACCACTAGGTCCCACAGTAGTGCCCTTTTACCGTGTCTGTTTTGGGGGAGGGTTCCCCTACTAAAACAAACTAGGGAAACAAGGGTACCCTTATTCTAACCTGTCTACTGGAGAACCTAGACAAAACGTTCGTTGACTTGTTGTGGCCAACCCAGGAACCGAGTTTGCAGAACAGGGGGGGTTCTGCGGGGCCCAACTGTTCAATTGAGCAGCGCCATAAACCCTGACAATACAAAGTAGTAAAGGGGGTGTCCTAGAGGGGATGTCCTATCCCCGCGAAAGCCAAAACGCAGGCCGCGAGAGCTTGCGAAGGCTTATCGCGATAGTAACCAAAGAAGGTCCCGCCGCGAAAGTTTGAAAGGCCCGCGAAGGCCTGCATGCTGTGTGACAGTCCGCCGCGAAAGCGTCGCGAAAGGGTCCGCGCAAGCAAGTTCATAGGACCGCTTTTTACACAAAGGCACGGCTCAATTGGTGCCAACTCATTTGAAGGGACCTTTGGTTTCAGACTTGGTTCACTTGAATTCAGATGAGCTTTCGGGTCCTTTTCGGGTTCCGCGAAGGTCCTTTGATTCTCTCAATCGAAAGGCAAAAGTGAATCGACCTGTAACCTGTAGTTTCCCTAGGACACACCCGTATAACCCGTTCATCAAATTGGGACCGGTGAGTTCATTCTGTTTTGCCTGGGGGCGAAAGGCAAAGTAAACCGAAACCGCCGGCTGTGAACCAAGGGAAGCGCCTTGGTACTAGCCATGGGGACGGGAAAATCCCAGTTTGGTATCGGAAAGGGCTACAAGTCTTGGTGGTTCCCAGGCATTTCCTGCAGTTTTCCGCTTTTTGGTGGGGGTTTCCATGTATCCCACGAAAAGTTGGTCACTTTGAGCATGGGATCTGAAAACGGACAGCCCAGAAGTTACTTCCTCAACCAACATTTGGCACAAGGTGCCGGGGCGGGCGCCGCCGCAGTTGGTGGAGGCACCTCCACCTTGTACTGTGGTACTGAGTACCTGCAGTGCTGGAGGAGATGTCGGAAGTAGCCTAGTGGTAATTACCCCCCCTCAGAATACTCGGGTGTTTATTCAACAAGTAGCATGGTTATCACTTTGTATATGTATCAGCTTTTCTTTATGGCAAGCTCACCTGAGAAGTATGATGCAGGTATTTTACTAAGGGATTAAAAAAGCGCGCGCCACCCAAGTCCAAGTGACTTGGAGTTCCCGTATTTTTTAGCTGCTGGCTTCCCTAAGTCAACTAACTAGAGGGGCGGTTCTTCTCCATCCGGAGGTCTGGTAAGTCAGCAATCAGAGATGGGAAGTTGTGTACAGTCCAACATGCAAGCATGTTGAGAAGAAGGCCTCACTGTACACAGATTTGACAGTCTTCAGAGGTCATGAATCCCTGTACAGACCTTGTCAGGCAGGTTGTATAGGATGCAATCGCGCCTTGGATTGCTAATTGCAACCCGATATGTGCAGATGGCCAGATTAGCCATGATAGCCGGCAGAAGCATAAGCTCCAATATCGGAGCTGTGGTGGTTTTGATGAGTGCTTTTGCTCACCTTGAACGTGCCAGAAAGCTAGGGTTTCCTTTAGATTGCTTCATCAAGGCCGTCCGAAAAGGGGGCCCCTCATTTTGGGACAAACCCATTTGAGTGCGCAAGAACGCGCAAGCTTTGTGAGCTTCAACACAAGTTGAGTCAATGCTGCAACAGAGCGGCTGGCCGTCTTCATCGTTTTGGCAGCTAGGCTTGGACATGGCTGCAACAGCTAGCAACAACTAGACCTTGTTCCCGTTGAAGGAAAACCCAAAGAAGCACATGGCTGTGTTCAAAACCAATGGTACCATTTTGGGGTAGGTGAATTCACCACCCAGTTTAGTGTATTTTAGTGGTTGGATTGGGATGTTCACTGGGGGTACGATTTGGCTTCTGACCCATGGCCACATGTTCGAGCAATGTTGGTATCATGTTTTGAACAAGAGGTTGGCTGAGCCCTTTTGGCAACGCTCAACAACAACGTTGGAAGGGCTGCGTGTGCAGAAAAGCTGGCAGATGTGGGTGGGCGCAATCTCATGCTTTGCGAGAGGAAGCCTTCGCACGTGTTTGAGTTGCTGGCCTTCGCTCAAGTTGCTGATTTGTGGCTTGTTCGTGTTGCAGAAAGTCATTGGCTATTCCGTACCTTGTACCTTGGTCACTTTTCGGAAGCGTATTCTTCCCTCGCTTCCCAAGTTTATGGACTTAGTTTGTGGCAAGACCATTTGTGTGGTACACATAAAAAGCTTAGACTTTGGGACAATCCACTCAGGAACCAGTTCCGACTAACCTCCCCTGGGCCGGGGAAAACACCAGGGATTCAAGCCACGTGCTTTGTGAACTGTCGATTGTAACAGCTTTGATTAACCAGTGGGTGGGTGAAAGTGGCAACACGAGATTAGAAACTGGGCTGTAGCCTTTGGATTAATTGCGGGGGAAGGCATGTGGCGCTATTCGCTTTGCCGGTTGGCTTGTTTACCCTTTCAACCTTGGAAGGTTGTGTCCCATTGAACATGAAGCATATTTTTTCGCTTACGCTTTTCTCTGTTTTTTGTGGACAAAAGCACTGATGTAGACATTTCTGCCGACTCCTTTAAAGGCGTATATTGCAAGGGAAGTCAAAGAAAGCACCATTTGGAGTGCCGCCAACCTGCAACCCCTGACGATGCGAATGTCTCTGACTTCAATCACATACCCCTTCAAACGTCCAACAGCAGCGGGTCGTTGGGGAGCGGTTGCACGGCTCATTGGGAGAGGGTTGACTCCTTCGTTCGCATCGCAGGAACTTCGGGACCCTTCTCAGTATGTGGTGTCCATTGTGGCGAGGCTGGGGTGCTTCGAGAAACCCTGGTTTCAAGAAACCCTGGTTTCGGATGATTCTGGGGATTACTCGTCTGATTCCATGTCAATTGAGGACATGACATGAATATGGACCGTGGCCGCTCAGCTTTCTTGGCTGTGAGAACAGCATCTGCGTGGGTCCGAAGAGTCCCCCAGCGACCCTAGAAGTTCCTGTTTGTTTGCTGTCCCCAAAACAACCAGGTTACGAACAGCCCCAAAGATGACCAGTCTGCATGTTGAGCATCACCCAGAACCCCCCAGCGCCCTTTGTCATCTGGGTGAATATCGCCACCCCTTGCGTTCGATCCCCTATGTTTGGAGCATGTCCTTGGCACCTGAACTCTGGAGCCCCCCGGAAAAATGGGTCGTGACGTCATGAGCCCTTCATTTTGCGATGCATTTAGATACATAATATCTATGTATATATATATATATATGTACATGATGTTGATTATATTGTAAACGCTTCGCGTTGCCCGCCTCGGCCCAGCCTAGTTTGAGGGAAGGGTCAGGAACACCGAAATCCAGTGTTGGGAAGGTCCGAATCCTACTGAAAGCTTGTGACCGCACCAGTTCGCCCGTGCTAGTTCGATGTTCGGAAGCCGTCCTGCTCGGAAGGTTTGAAATCCAAAACCAAGACTATCTCAGCTGCTCAGTGCCCTTGGAAAAAAAAGGACCTCTTTCTGGGGATGAGCATTTTTAGTGGGGCTTGGCCTCCATAAAAAGGGGAACAATAATTGGTGTCACTGAACAACCAAGACCAACTTTGGGTGTTTGGGCACCTCCATTTCACGTGGCTGGCGGCTTGCCATGACATACATTTCTTGCTCGGTTGCTCAGCCCAAGACAGGTACATGGTGGGAATACAAACCTCCATTTTCCATTTGCTTGAGTACCCCGGAAAATATCCCCAATAGACACGCCAGCAGGCGGGCTGAGGGACTGGGCCTGAGGCTAGTCTCAGGCTGGCATACCTTGAGACGCCGAAGGGGCTGGGCGGATGACTTGGGGCCAGACGAGCAGGAGGTCAAGGCCTGGTCAGAGCTGCTTGGGCAGCCGGACTGGGGGGCTGGGGCACGTCAGACAGGCTTGGTAGCTGGCATAGCTGAGACTGGTTGTTGGCCTGAGGCCAGTCTCAGACACGTTAGACAAACTGGGGGCCGGCCTAGTGGCTGGCAGGCTGGGCTGAGCTGGGCCTGAAGCTAGTCTCAGCCACGAGGCTGCGAAGCCATGGGTGGGTTGCTGGCTGCCGGGCAGCCGGACTACGCTGCGGAACTTGGGCTGGGCGGGCTGGGCTGAGCTGTGCTTGGGCGGGTTGCTGGATGGGCAAGGCCTGTTTCATACACACTTGGGTCTGAGGCTGGGCGAGTTGCTGGCTGGGCTGGGCCTGAGGCCAGTCGCAGACACGTAAGACACGCCAGCAGGCGGGCTGAGGGACTGGGCCTGAGGCTAGTCTGAGGCTGGAATACTTTGAGACCAGTCTCAGACTGCGCCAAAAAGGCTGGGGCTGCTGGATGACTTGGGGCCAGATGCGAGCAGGAGGTCAAGGCCTCACGTCAGACAGGCTTAGTAGCTCTCAGACACGTGTTGGCCTGAGGCCTGACCTTGGCACGCTGGGCTGAGCCTGCTGGTGGGCTGGGGGCCGGCCTAGTGGCTGGCATGCCTGAGATGCGCCGGGGCCTGGGCGGAACAGCAGGGCTGAGCCTGAGGCTAGTCTCAGGCTGGCATACTTTGAGAGTGTTTCAGACTGCGCCGAAGGGGCTGGGCCTGCTGGATGACTTGGGGCCAGACGCGAGCAGGAGGTCGGCCTGGGCTGACCGGACTGAGGGGCTGGGGACGTCAGACAGGCTTAGTAGCTGGCGTAGCTTGAGACCAGTCTCAGACACGTGAGACTGGTCGTTGGCCTGAGGCGAGTCTCAGATGGGCTGGGTGACTTAGGGCCGTGCTTGGGCGGGTTGCCAGACAAGCTTGGGCCTGAGGCTGGGGTGGCTGGGCTGACAGGCCTGGCCAGCAGGCGGGTTGCTGGTTGGGCTGGGCCTGAGCCTGGTCTCAGACACGTCAGACAGGCCTGGCCAGCAGCAGGTCATGCTTTTCAGGACAAAAAAGCATTTTTTAGTGATTTTCACAATTCTCAGCACATTTTCGACAAAAATGGACCCATGGAGCTGGACGCCGACGAACCCAGAAAATTTCAAGGCCCGCCGGACAGGATTTTGGGCCAGCCGACATGGGTGGGGGGGGGTGGGGGGGGGGGGCGGCCGGCAAAATTTTGGGGGAGGGGAAAAGCGAAGATTCTCTTTGGAGAAGAGATCTGAGCGCCCTTGGCCCCTTTGGGGCCGAGGCGAATTATATATGTAGCATCACTTCCCCAAAGCAAAGCACCTTGTAAACTACAGGGTGGCATCACAACTCATGAACCAGAGGGCGACTTGGAGCTGAGATATGTCACCGTTTTTTGGTGAGGCTGCCTCTGGGTGGTCAGCATTTCAGTGGCTCCGTTTCCTGAAGCTGACCCAAGGCTTGGAAAGTCATCGGCTTGGGGGTCATGGAGCTGGAAGTGGGTTAGGCGATCCCTGTTTTGGATAGGGAAGTCAACCGGAAACCAACCACCTAGCACGCGCCCAACTACATGTTGAACAGTACCAAGGGGATTTTGGACATGGGGAAAGCTGCGGGGTGGAGAAAAGGATGCAATGTCAACCAGCCTTTTGCCTGGAGCGGGATTCCATTTGCTCAAGACGTTTGTTTTATATTTTCCCCGGTTGGTTTCAACCAGAATCTATCGCTACTGGACATATGTTTACTTTTTTTACCGGGGACGAGTAGGCAAATGGAAGTTATGCAGCCAAAATGCGATGGTCCTCATTCGAAGTGACGATTCGCCTTTGCGTGGCCAGGGGCTACCAGCCACGGCGAGCGCCGTCCTCAAATCCGAGGAGGGTAATTTTCAGAGTTACCTTGGCTGAGTCTCCCTAGAATTGGAACCAATCTTCCAGTTGGCAGAGGAAAAAACCAGAGGGATTCTCTTGAGCTTGCTTGAGTTGGATAAGTTAATCATTTGATAGACTTCTAAAACTCATGTCAGGTTCATGAAGTTACAAGAGACCCTCATTCTTGACGCATCGAACAGGCGAGTGGTTTGCACACTTGGGAGTGTGCTTTTTTGAGGGTACTCCTTTGGGTTGGTCTTGAAAGGCAGACGTCGCTTCGGGATCCGCGAATGGAAAGTCAGCCCAAACAGGGCTCCAGATCAGCTTGAACTTGTATCCTCTAAATCCCATTGGGGAGGGCTTGTTGCAGTAAGCTTTCATAGGGCCACTGTCCTGGGAGTCAAGAAAATGCGAGCCCACAAGGTTTACTGATAGGGGTGGTTCCTGTGCAAGACGGAATTCTTCACTTGGAACGCGTTTACACACTCCCCCAAGCCACGAGGTGGATCAATCCGTCGACAAATTACTTCGGTCTCTGTTAGTTTTGGGACCAAATAAATCAAATGCTACCAGAATCACGCAGCGACCATTGGAGGCCCCACCCAAGAATAGGGTCGCCCCCGAGTTTGGGTATGTTGGATTGGATTGTAGATGTGGGTGTTTCTCGAATTTGGGACCCCTCCAGGTGGCTTCCCTTCTTTTTTCCCCTTTCGGCCCATCCAAGAAGGGTCCTCCATTTTCTGGGCTGCTATTGGGTTGGATCTTTAGACTTTAACTTTTGGGGAAATCAAGGAGTTTCCACTAAAGCTACACAAAGTTAAACTTTTTGGGGTCAACAGCAACCAAGTTTTGACAACCCCCCCCCCCCCCAGATACCTTTGTGTATCGGAACATGTGTTTGTTTCTCATGTTGCAGTCGCGAGTTGACTCAATGCTTTCTGACAGGTTGAATTGCGGTATGGACCCAAAGTTGGACCCTGGCGCCCAAAAACCAAGAGGAACATTGCTGGCTGTTATGGGGAAGGGGGGATGATAGCCCCCTCCCCATAGCCCCCCTTGAAAAGCCATGGTCCATGATAACCGCAAAGGTCAACATTTTAAAATGTCAAGTTGCCCGATCTTGGCGATAACCTAATCCAAGGTTTGTAAGACTAAGTTTGAGGGGAAGTCCCACCTTGTTTGTAGGATGTTTGGACTTAAATTGTTAACGAATCTTCATATGTCTCTGGCCAAAACCGGTGCTGCAGTTGCATTCTGAGCTGCTCACGCTGAGCTGTTCATCTGTTCCTCACGTACTCCACGTGAATTTGCTGAAGAGTGCTGTTTACCTTGCTGGTGCTCAGCAGGGAGTGAGGGAATGAACCCAGGGGTCCCCTTAAGGAAACCACCTGTTGGTTCCTTGCTGAGCACAAGCAATTTACTTCCCCTGTCTGTTTTGATGGGAATCTATCACTACTGGAGTTGTAATTCTCAAGGGGACTTAAACAACGGGAGTGCGCGACAGCGCACGGCAACGTTGCACGCGGGGTAGGTAATATGAACACCAACATTGGGCCGATGCGATGGTAAATGTGGGCAAGGATTCCCTGCGTGGAGTGTCTGTGTTCTGCTTGATGTTCAGCACGCAAGGAGGAGAGCGGGGAATTCCTGTTTGGGTAACCACAAGAATCAGGCACCCTAGCATCATCCGCCAATATATTTCCTTTGTTCGCCCAGTTGCCTATGGCGTCCCTCATGGGATAGCAAGCCACATCGCCTGGATTTTGCCATGCAAGTGGAGGTGTGCCTGCCGAGCGGGAAGAGCTGCTCCGTGTCGCTGCCTCCGGAGACGAGTGTCCGCAAACTGAAGGCTGAGGCCCAGCGCCAGCTGGGCGGCTTCCTGAGGCTCGCCTTCAGAGGGCAGCACCTGGCTGCGTCGTCCACGCTGAGTGAGGCAGGCTTGCGAGATGGAGATCAGGTTGATGCCGTCGTGCAGCCCGTGGGGCTAGCTTCCACCCAAAAGGCTGTTGCGCTCTATGTTCCCGGAGGCACGGCCGTTACGTGGGGCGATCCGGAGTATGGCGGCGACAGCAGCCGGGTGCAAGAGCAGTTGGTGCAAGTCCAGCAGATCCACGCAACTGGCCATGCTTTTGCCGCCATCCTCGCCGACGGCGCTGTGGTGACTTGGGGCAATCCTCACTGCGGCGGAGACAGCAGCGAGGTTGTAGAGCAGTTGGAGCGAGTTCAGCAAATCCAAGCAGCTGATTATGCTTTTGCTGCCATCCTGGCCAACGGCTCTGTGGTGACTTGGGGTAACCCTCATTATGGCGGTGACAGCAGCCAGGTGCGAGAGCAGTTGGTGCAGGTCCAGCAGATCCGGGCCGCTGACGGTGCGTTTGCTGCCATCCTCGCCGACGGCTCTGCGGTAACTTGGGGCGATCCTGACCAGGTTGTAGAGCAGTTGGTGCGAGTTCAGCAGATCCAAGCAACTAGCCGTGCTTTTGCTGCCATCCTGGACGACGGCTCTGTGGTGACTTGGGGCAGTCCTGGCTTCGGTGGCGACAGCAGCCAGGTGCACGCGCAGTTGGAGCGAGTTCAGCAGATCCAAGCAACTGACTATGCTTTTGCTGCCATCCTGGCCAACGGCTCTGTGGTGACTTGGGGGGATTCGTATTATGGCGGCGACAGCAGCCAGGTGCAAGAGCAGTTGGTGCAAGTCCAGCAGATCCACGCTACTGGCCGAGCTTTTGCTGCCATCCTCGCCGACGGCTCTGTGGTGACTTGGGGCAATCCTCACTGCGGCGGCAACAGCAGCGAGGTTCTAGAGCAGTTGGTTGGAGTTCAGCAGATCCAAGCAACTGATGTTGCTTTTGCTGCCATCCTGGACGACGGCTCTGTGGTGACTTGGGGCGATGCGTATTATGGCGGCGACAGCAGCAAGGTGCAAGAGCGGTTAGTGCAAGTCCAGCAGATCCACGCAACTGGCCATGTTTTTGCTGCCATTCTGGCTGACGGCTCTATGGTGACTTGGGGGGAGCGTTTCTTCAGCCGCAAGATTGGCCAAGCTGACTTGGACGGGCTGTGATGCAGAAGTGCTTGTTGCGTTTCTGGGCGGGTGATGGTTTGCAGCAGTTGCGCAGCCGCATGCCGCCGAATTACAGCAGGGCGGCGTGTCTGGACCGCCACCAGTGGCGATTTCGGGTTCTGGACCCGCCAGGTCAACTTCTGACAAGAGAGCATCCAGCGACCCGTTGGTTGCGTCATCGCAAAAGGTTGGCCGAGACTTTCAGGCATCTCCAGACATCCTCATGAAACACAATATCTTCCATGGCAAGTATACCTTCCTTTCGCCGTCCAGGGTTAGCATCATACCCGAAATTTGTCATATTGCATGTAGGGCATAAGCCAAATGTGCATGCGCTCTTCTTCTTCTTCTTCTTCTTTTGTTTTTTTTGGGGGAGGGGGTGGGAGGGTGGGAGGGTAGCTGGCGTTTGTGGATCTCACTTGCCCAAATTGAATCAACCTCGTGACCTTTTGGTTTCCTCCAGTCAAGTCCTCCAAAAAATTCAAGCTGTGCGTCTTACGTGCAAAAACCAGGTTCCCAAAGTAAACTGCATGATTCAATCAAGTCATTTGGAGGGAACTGTCATTCTCCAGACAGGTTTATTCGATCCGATACTACTCCACGAAACCAATATGGGCAGACTGGTTTCCAGGGTAATACCCTTTTGTTGTCGTCAGAGGTTGACAGCATCTTCTTTAACATCCCCATGGGCTTAATCATGGGAGGCAGGGTTTCCTGAAGCAATTGTATAGTGGAGCTTACTTGTTTGGGATGTCCTTTTTGGGTTTCCTTCAGTCTCCTTTAAACATCTTTCGACCTTGTCCGGCCATGTTTCTGACCATGCAGACTCAGGAGCAGAAAGTTAACGTTTTGCAGGGGGTCAGACCTGTTTGGCCAACACAAACACAGCGTTGGTCGAGTCTTCTGGGTCTCTCACCCGAAATGTATCTTAGCTCGGGTTGACTGAAACAGAATCTGCTCTGATTTGTGTAAGATGGCGTCTGGGGTCTCTCGATCTTGCCGTACGTTTGTTTGGCCGAGAAAAGAACACTCTCAACGTTGAACTAGCAAGGAACCACAAGGGTCCCATAATTCCTGTTGTTTGTAGGGGCTGGGCTACGTCAAAGCTGACGAGTGGAAGACCACGGGCCCCTTAAACGTACCCTGGAAGACAAGTCTCCAATACCTATTTTCTAGTCAAGCAAGGGAAGCATATGACAAAACCAAGAGGACAATTGTTGGATATTTGCAGCTTGCAACTGGGATGCACCGGGGTATGGGAGCATTCGCTCGAAACCCGAGGCCCGATTCGAGAACGAGCGACGCTGGCACGGGCCCATGTTGGAGCCGGTTTCGTCAGTTTTTTCACAAGCCCGATTGCTTGTTTCAACATGGCAGGGTTATTTGTGAGGGTCCGCGGAGGACATTTGTTACATACCCCGTTACATAACCTATGTAAAAAGACCTGCTGGCTCGTTACACACTCCGCGTTACATACATGTGCTGCATGCACATCCAACGCAAACAATTAGGGGTCTCAAAACAAGTTTGGAGCCACACAATTCATCTAGTATTCCACTGCAATGCTTGAAGGTTTGCTTTAGAATACCCCACTACTGAATTCTATCGGTTTTTGGCCCTTAATGCGGGGGAGTGAGGTCAATAGGGAGTAAGGTCAATAGGGAAAAGCCCTTAGTACTGATTTAGATTCGGTTTAGTTTTGCTTTGTGCTGGTCCACTTTTGCTCTGTACTGGTTTAGACGCGTTGTAGTATTGCTTATTCGGATTTGGGTGTCAAACAACACTTTTTGTATTTCCTCCCCCTGTTTTTTTTCAGAGTGAGGAATAATCTTGGTTAAAAATGGTCTGGATTGCCTTGATCGCTGCCCGACTTCAGACTGCAGACGGTTTTTACTTGTGAATCAACACCGGAGGTGAAGAGGTTGCGGGGACGGTCCGACCGGTAGACTCCTTTGCCAAACTTTGAGTGTGTCTCATGCGTATGTATTCTGTTTGAGGGTACTTTGACTTAGCAAGTCGACAACCTGTTTTTTTGTTTTGGGGGGCTCCCCCCGTTTCTTGAAATACCCATATTGACCCGTGGGCTTGCAATTTGAACAATGGCAAGTCGATGAGTCAAGCAAGCCACCCTGAAGCCACAACCACATCTCCGTGGTTTCCTGGTTGCCTTGTAGTCGATCCAGGATTTCTGGTAAACCGCCGTGCATCGGTAGGCCTGTTGCGAGACCGATCGGGCATTTTATGCGCTGGGTATGTAAAGCTGAGCTCATAATTTTGACTTCTGGGCGGTTTTTTCCGGGTCAGACACCGGGCTTGTATCTTTCCGTAACCTTCCGGGTGACTTTGGGGAAATCATGGGGAATTCCAGCACAAAGAACTGCGGGCAACTTTGGCTTGGGTAGCTCACCAAGTGCGACCCCTTCGGGCTGCCCGACCGAGGACCGATCAGGACACTTCGAAACATATGGGTTCCCCAGCAGCATTCCAGGTTTCCCTTATGAGCTGGTCCAAAGCAAGGACTAATTATTTTCTTTCATCGAGAAAGCATATGGGTGTATCTTTTTTGAGGGTGCTTTGTTGCTGTTGGTTTACAGGGCAAGCAGACAGACACCTGTTTTGTGCTGGGGGAAGGAGGTGGGTTCCCCTATTTTAAGCCACACCCACAGAAAGGTTCCCACAAGCGCATGTCCAGCTTCCTCCAAGCATGTCAAGGGCTTCCTATGTTATGACCGAATGGGATCCCAGATGGCCTTTTTTCTTTTCCGAGTTGTTTGTTCCTTTGAAAGAAGACACAACTCACTTCCCTGAGAGGACGGTGAACTCGGGACCATTTGAGTGACAAAGGAACAGTCAGGGCTTGCTTGTGCCACACTCGGGAAGCGAAACACCGGGCTGTGTTTTTTTTGCTTTTCGGTTTTTGTCGGAGATCCACTGGAAGTGGGCGGTCGTCACCAAGAAAACATCCACGCCAGATGCGACTGCGAGTTGTGCCCCACAAAGAGTTGGTGTATTTCAAAAAGTTGCCTGAGTATTTTTAACTGCGTCGCAGAAAAGCATCACATGTTCTTGTTTCCCATATGGACCAAACGGTTTTTTTGGTGGAGCTCTTCAGCTGATTCTTTGTTCCCATTGGTCCTTCAAGCAACCCGGATACAGGGCAGCCCTCGCTCGCGCGTGCGTTGTGCGTTTGCGAGGCAACGTGTGTTGGAGCTGGGGATCCAGCTTGACGACCCGGCAAAGCAGGCGACACGGCTAAGCCGATAAGCCTACGCCAGAAGGCAGCCTTCGGTCCATGCATGTGGATCCTCAACTTGTTGGAAGCGATTTTTTTTTCTTCTGGGGGGGCGTACGTGTATTTTCACTGACGGGTGGCTGGCAGGCCCGCTAGGCCCTGCATATTTGGAAGACCAATGGGCCCGAAGTATTGTTCAGAAGGGGTAAAGACCATCCAAATCGCTTGTAAGGCATGGTGGATCTGGTTCTGGTGCCTCCAGGTTCCACAGGTGACCAAGGGGAAAAACCATTGCACAACTGAACGTGGATTGTGTCTCGGATGCGGCACCCGGATTAAGCAAAGCCAACATGTGTTGATACTTGCAGACAGTGCCACGCATGTCTCGTGGCAAGCGATTCAAGAAGGGTTTATTTTGCAAATGGCACTGAGAGGATTGCAACCTGACCCAGGAGTGAGATGCCTTGGGGAGCCTGTTTGTTAGTTGGTTGAACCATTTGAGTTCGCCACGATGAAAGTGGTTCATAGTTAACACACACACACACATCTTATGGCTGCCAATCTCAATGCAGTTTCTGTTGGGTCATGTTTTGTTTACAAGGCAGGGTTCCCCTAGGTTGAACCAGGGCTTGTGTGCTACCTGGGACAATGAGAACAACAATCAAAGGCCGGAAGCTGTGATTTTTGTGCGGGATCCACTTTGAAGGTGGCTCCCCAGAATTCGTAGCCGGGTTGTTTTCGGGCAAGAACACCATGGGCAACTTCCTGGTGTAGTCCCTGCATGTTGTTGTCAAGCACAGATGAATGCATCGCCATTGGTTAACACACAGCCAGAAGCCACTGGTATCATGCGACATGTCAATTGACTTGCGTGTTGTTGTTTTTTTTTAGTGCATGGACTGCGTTCGAACACATATTTCACATCTCTGTTTTCATCCCCAGTTGGAAATGGTGAATTTCTCATCATTTCCGGAGTCTGGTCTACTTCACGGATTCAGCCAAATGGGTGTGGGTCAACATTAGACAGCTGGGGTTTCGTTGGCTTTAGTCTTTGCATTTGCCCAAGGCCAGAACCTTCCTCAAACCGTGGCCCCCGAGGGGAAAGCGCCCCACTTACCCGCAGCCAAATGGGCCAATATATAAAAGGGATGTGCGAAATCCCCCGAAGTTCCTGCTTGCCTCGCCAAAGCCCGAAGCCCCGCTCACCTTGCGACGTTCAGGCGCTGGCCAAACTTTCGCCGGAGCAGGCGGATGAGATGCTGGAGTCCGCCCAAGCTGGTTCTTTGGGCGGAACCATTTGATGGGCTGTTGGTCATGTTTTGATCGTATAGTTGTAGGGTTCTTTGTACAGAACGCCTGTGTTTCCAAGGCAAGGATTGGTGGTAGTTTTTCAGTTGGAAGCCAGTGGTTTCTTCCGGTTGGAGACACACAAAGCCTACGGAGGGATTTGAGTGGTTTGCGTATGGTAGTTTTGTGCGGAGTGTACAGCCTAGCCATCGGAGCAAACCCTGGCCTCATGACTCCTACCTTGAGATCTCGAGGGGCAAGAAGGACACCTTTTCCTTGCTGGTTTGATAGGCAGGGAATGATAATTCATGCAACTGGTTTCCTCCAAGGGGACTCCAATCGCCTGATTTGTCCAAACCCGGACTCGGAAAGTCATTCCCTACCTATCGCACCAGCAAGTGTTCGAGCAGAAGGAACCTTCGATCGAAGCCCATCCCGTTTTCACCACCCGGAACCGATTCAAACAACCGGAAGCTGAGCGAAGCCCCCACAGCGCTAGGGGAAAAAATTGGGAGAGCGAATCATTTGGTATCAAGGTTTGATAGTTTGCTGCTACCCCAGATACAACAGAGTATCTTGCATGGTATCCCTGGTCCTCATGGATTGAGAGTAGCATGTCCTGCCTTGCTGCCTTGGGCTTCCTAAACCCTTTCCCCCGAACAAAAAGTAACGGACCTTCGGATTCGGGGCCTTGTCAGGTAACCCCCGCCCCTTATGGTGGTACTGCGGCAAGGGGCAACAAGAAAAGCTCCGGCTCACGCTACCAGCTCTGCTTGGCATGTGATTCTGAATTTGTTGTCGTCATGTTAGGTGAGGGGCTGACTGGCCAGAACACAGTTTCTTTCATCACATCCTAAAGGCGGGGGCACAAGCATCTTAGGATCAATCAGCTACTTAACTGCACTGTTCTTGGATACATCAATTCCCTTTCTGGCTCCATTTTCCTTTTTCATCGGCATGAAGTTGCCCCCCCCCCCTCCCAAGGTAGGGGGAAATGGTGAGGCTTTGCTTTCCAGGTACATCATCGAGCACCACCAGCACCTCAGGACTTTTGGGCCTTGATTCGGAGAACCCTGCGCGCTGCAAGATATATTTCCTGAACCAAAAGGTGCAGTGTCTCCATGACCCTTATATTGGGTCTACTTGAAAGGGGTCACCCGTTTCAAGCTGGTAATTTCCCGTGAGTTTAGCACGTACGTCCTGAATGCGAGCTTCAGACCTGCGCGTTTGCTGAAACTACGCGGATCCTGGGTCATTATTTTGACCGCTTCTGTGACTTTGATCATACTAAATCATGGGGCCAGTAAATGGATGAAATCCAAATGTATGGAACCTGCTGGTGAGTTCAACTGATATTCGCTATTCGTGTTAGTCACCACAGTGACACCTGTGGTGGGCTACCGAGATCACAAGCTATGTACCGCGGGACACCGCCTCGTACGAGGCTAGGGGGTGAGAGACTGGCTTGCTAACCACTCCCAAGACGTGGTATTGGGGAGGTTCTTCCGGTCGGTGGGGTTTATTTTGGTTTCAGCCCCAGCCGAAACCTTGCGCATGTTTGTCATTTGTTCAAGCAAAAGGTATTTGTTGTCTGTATCTTCCATGGTCTGAGAAACTTGCTTGCTGAAAACCGACCTTTGATGTCCCCTTTTTGGTCCATTTGTCGTCATAGGCCAAAAGGTTAACCTTTCATTTCTGGGCCTTGAAGGCGGTAGAATCTTCCCTGGAAATGCACCTTTTGGAAGGTTTAGAAACAATACCTATATGCGCAAATGGATTAACTGGGTACACGATAACGGTTTGTCTCACACCAGGGGACCTTCTGAAACAAGTCGACACAGGCTAAGCCAACGCGGGGTTGTTTTTTCCTTCGAAAGCCGACAAAGGTATCCGAGCCTCCAAAAACATACCACCCGCATTGCTTCCGTTTTTTGAGTTTCCATTGCCAGACTTTGCTTGGCTGCTCGCCTTCTTGGCGTTTCTCGAAGCTTGCAACCGCCGGATATGTGCGTTGGCAGCTTCCAGGCTGATTGGGCAACGGGGCCCACAGGGTCCCAAGTCTCCCTTGGTTTGGGTATTCGATTTTTTCCTTTGGGGAGGGTAAATGGGACACCACCTCCTATCATGGTATGTCTAGCTACCCCCTTGCTGACTACCCCCCCCCCCCTCCTGGAATTAGGGACAACCCCCTTATTAGGGCCTTATTGGGGGGTAGTTAGACATACCATGATCCTAACATCCGAACCTCTAAGAGGGAGAGGTTTTTGAGCGTGGCCGAGGAGCCCCTCCAACTACATCATCAGCACTGTGGCCAGGGGCTTCGTGCCTAGGCCGCGGAAAGGAGGCGCCGTCCACTGGGTATCAAGACCCGGGCAGTCAGCGGGGGGAGGGGGGGGAAAGGGAGGGGGGGCGGGGGGTCAGTGTGGATATTTGTTGTTGATTCCTGGCACTATTCTGGGTCGACCCCTTTAGGTCCGTTTAATTTGCGACTCTCAGGGATCAACCCATGGCTGTGGGAAAAGGGCATTCATAGGGCCACTGCTGCCATCAGGATCCTCGATAAGAACTATGAATCAAGCCTTGAACCGTTTTGCTGACCATTTCGTTTGTCAACCATGTTTCATGGCCACACAAGGTCAACTTTAGTTTCCGGGATATTTGGGCAGAGGAGTTCGTGTGTGTGTGTGTGGGAAAATGAAAGGACCCAAACAAACCCTAAGCTTAAAGAAACATGTGATTTCATGAACAGCTCCCGAAGAGAAGCAAAGTCACCATGAACCTCTGGTGACAGTGCGCCTGCTTGCCAGCATTCACCTCTAAGATTGGGGTTTGGAGCATTCCCCAATAAACCGTATCTTTCCGGGGAGGGGGGGGGGGGTTGAATGGACTTTAATTTAAACCGTCACTGGTAGATCAAGGCTCCAGACATGTTCCCAGAACCCTCCAAGCAGAACTCCATACATTCCTGAGCTTTCCTGGAGTTGGCCTTTGGTTTCCGCCGTACCAGCTTTAAGCCTCGATCATATAAGTTCTAGTGGCTAACTAAGTAAATCTAGGATCCTGTTGTGATCATGTCTAAACATTATCTCAAAGTAGCCCACAACTTCATTCCAGTTATTTAGGCCGTTGCATTCCCTTGGCCTTCCGCCGAAGGCCCAAGTCCTTTGCTGTTTCTCTCGCAGGCGACAAGGGCAGGGGGAACAACCCGATGGGAGTGCCGCTTGGACTGCACTCGAAAGGCCTCCAACGGACAGATCCGAGTCCCCTTCAGCTCGCCGGAAACCAGGCTGGAGGCTTTCTGCTTCCTGAAAAATACAGTACCAATTGAGAAGAAACACCACATCGACAGTGGTGGCTGGTGGCTGAAAGCTGGCACAGTGGTCGCACAAAGGCTTGCCTTCGCTGGTTTCGAGGAGGGTTTTGCCATTTTCTCCGCCGATGGGCAACGGCAGTTGTCCGTTTACTTTGCCGAATAGGAATTTGTTTTGGACTTTTGTTTGGTTGTCCTATGATTCTGATAAAGGCCCAAAGGGTCAAACTTTTTGGCCAGTCAACTCAGGTGAGGGAAGGGAGTTTTGAATGAGCCTCGAGTGAGTCTTTCGGATGCGAGCGCGAGGAATCCCAACATCATGCCCGCTGATCTCACTCCGCTGGAGAGGCAGAGTGGAGCTTCAGGGATTCCCGACACCCCCCGCCCCCCCGAATTAACATTGAACCTGACAGGGGCCCAGTCCCTTTGAAACGAGAATGGTCCCGAATGCCAGGTTCCCGGTGATCATGGTCTTTATCAACCACGGCCCCATGTCATGTCTGTGGCTCACAAATGGAGGTCCAAAATTTGGGTTGCCCTGGTAATTAGAACGATAGACTAAAGCCTGCACAACCCCAGCTGCTTAAAATTTTGAGAACAACAGCCATTTGCACAGGGTCCCTATATTTCCCTTTCTGGCGGTTTTAAACATCACCCTTTTGGCCCATGAAAGGTGAGTGTCCCTTGGCGGGGGTGATGTTTTAAGAGGAAATATAGGGAGCCGTGACCGTCGCAGGCGGTGTCTTCAGATCAACAGCCACCTGGCCCACGGGCAGCGTATCGACGTGCCGACCTACCTGGCGCTTCGCTGTCTCCCCGCGCGAGGGCCTCGGAGGTGTCGCTGGACGTTTTCTCTGGGGTCCGGCGATATTGAGACGTCTGTCCGTGTGTGTGTGTGTGTGTGTGTGTGTGGGTGCGTGCGTGCGTGCGTGCGTGTGTGTGTGTGTGTGTGTGTGTGGGTGCGTGCGTGCGTGCGTGCGTGCGTGCGTGCGTGCGTGCGTGCGTGCGTGCGTGCGTGCGTGCGTGCGTGCGTGCGTGCGTGCGTGCGTGCGTGCGTGCGTGCGTGCGTGCGTGCGTGCGTGCGTGCGTGCGTGCGTGCGTGCGTGCGTGCGTGCGTGCGTGCGTGCGTGCGTGCGTGCGTGCGTGCGTGCGTGCGTGCGTGCGTGCGTGCGTGCGTGCGTGCGTGCGTGCGTGCGTGCGTGCGTGCGTGCGTGCGTGCGTGCGTGCGTGCGTGCGTGCGTGCGTGCGTGCGTGCGTGCGTGCGTGCGTGCGTGCGTGCGTGCGTGCGTGCGTGCGTGCGTGCGTGTGCGTGCGTGCGTGCGTGCGTGCGTGCGTGCGTGCGTGCGTGCGTGCGTATGCGTGCGTGCGTGCGTGCGTGCGTGCGTGCGTGCGTGCGTGCGTGCGTGCGTGCGTGCGTGCGTGCGTGTGCGTGCGCGGGCGGGCGGGCGCGCGTGTGTGTGTGTGCGTGTCTGTGTGTGTGTGTGCGTGGGTAGGGGCGTTTGTGTGGGTAGGGGGGTTTCGTGGGGTGTGTTTGTGTGTTCTTTAGGATTTGTCAGTCTTGTGTGCGTAGGGGTGGGGATGGGGGGTGCGGCGGGGTGTGCATGTGGATTCGGGTCAATTGTCAAGCATTAATTTTTGGATTCGGACCCAAAACATGGATTTCGGGGACCCCGTTTTGGCTTTCGGGGGTCGAAACAAGCCACACCCACATACCCTATGGAGTCACCCTCTTTAGTTGGTAATTGAGAGCATATCTCGACCTGTGTGGGATTGAGCCTTGAAAAAGTCCTGTTTGGCATGCTCCCCATAGTGGGGGTCCCACAAAGAATCAAAAAGGGGGCTCCCCCCCCAAAAAAAAACAACCAAAGGGGAAAAATCCCCCAAAGAAATCCTCACCCCTTCAAAGACCTTTTGAGGACCTCGAGCCGACCGGTTTCGCGCCGTTTTTGCTTCGCAGCTCAGGTGGCAGGCCGCAGAGGTCTTGGACGGCTTAGAGCAGCGCCTGGCTGGACCCTCCGAGGTGCGGCCGGCGGCGGTGGTTTTGGTTTCCTCAGTGGCACCAATTCGGTTTGGTCAAACAACGATGGGCTCCACGGGTTTACATCGCTTTGATTTGTTTGTTTTTCTTCCGGGGCAGTGGCACCCTGTTTCCAACTCTTGTTGGGTGGCTGCCAAAAACTAAAATTGGTCCAAGCCCCAAAAAGGGTTCCAATTATTTCTTCCAGGGTCACTGAACAACTGAGTTTCGTCTGCAGTGACCCAAAGGGTGTCCCTTTTCATCGGTTGGTTTGGTGAAGAAAGATTATGGGTTCCATTGGATTTAGATGGGTTTATAATTTTAATTTACCTTTCTATTTTTTGTTTCCGAAGGGCCAGCTATATTTCCAGAAGAGCAGCTATGTTCGTCACTTGAAGGGGTGACTTATGAACATGTTGGGTATGTTTCAAGGGCCAGTCATTTTGGTCATTTGCGAAGGTAAGTAAAGGGTTAGACAAAAGAAGTGAACTTGTTTTTTGTCAAGTCTATAGTATTGGGATACTTCCTTGCATTGTGTTCTTACCCCGAACAGCTGGAAGCTTCGGCTCCTGGCTAGCACCGGAGTGAGTGATGCGTCCCAGACCCTTTGGTAGACATCATTTCGGTGGGCATTCGGGCAACCACCAGCCACTTTTGAGGCATGGTACGATATCTTAGTAGAACCACGGGCCTTTCACTGAAGTCATTGTTTTGTGGTTCTAGCCGGGTGTCTTCTGCTCAGGGTCGGTCGCGTTGTGCGGCTAAGGGGAAGCAGCCGTCATCGGTGATTTGGCGACACGATGCCCGCAAGGGCTCCTGTAGACTTGAGGTTCGGACGTGTCGCTCGACTTGTTTGGAACAACCTTGGGAGAAGGGACTTGGGCATGTGTTAAAACAGGGGACCTCCTAAATGATACTCTTTCTTTTGGCTTCCCTTTTAACAGCCTGAACCAGGGTACCTTCAAAATACACGACACACACATTGGCTTGGACGCCTGCACGTTTGACAGCGATCGCGGAACCTGCCAGGTTGGCAGCGTTTGCAGCTATCTGAAGGCAGATTGGGGTGACGCAGTTGCCAAAGTGTTGCCTGGCCCTTGACCACAGCCAACCAACCAGCCAACCAACCAACCACAGCCAACCAACCACAGCCACCCAACCAACCACAGAACCAACCAACCACAACCAACCAACCAGCCAACCAACCAACCACAGCCACCCAACCAACCACAGAACCAACCAACCACAACCAACCAACCAGCCAACCAACCACAACCAACATTTTCTGCAACAAACTGTTCAAGCAATTGCGAGCATTCGGCAGCTCGGCTTACATGAAGTCCCTTCCTGAATTCAACGTGGTGAACTATCAAACCGGAGATCTGCCATTTTGCGGATATTTGAGAGCTTTCACCCCATTTGGAATGGTTGCTTTGCTTTATCCTCGCAAATCTGCGGTTGGATTTCATATGAGAGAGAGCCGTCAGGGAGCCTCCTGAAAAGGCAGATCGCCTGGAATGCCTTGTAGTGACTTGTCCAAACCATAGATGCCGCCCATTTCAATGGTCTATGCAGGATCCATGTCAAATGTGCAGAGCGCACCGCCCTTTGCAAAGGGCACCTTTGTCACTAACCGACCATGAATGTGCGTTGGCTAAGCGTTACTTATCATATGTCCTCTTGTTTGCAGCTTAATACGGTATATTGTGGTGGCACGCAAAAAGCAAATGAGATGTAGACGTGGTAGAGTGATTGCTACGTCCCGCCAGACTGCGGTCTCCACGATAGGCGCGGGGCCTAAGCGGGATTCGATGCGAAAGTAAGGTTGAGCAAACTTACAAAACTCGTTTCAACAACCAAACCAAGGCCTCATCCTTGGCTGCGACTTGTTTGGAACTTAGAGTTGTTTTTATAGAAGTGATGCTTCCCACGCCTCGATGCGTCGAAGCCCAAAGGTTGTTTGGCCAACGGTCAAGCGGCTTTTGATCGCCTGAACACGGAAATGGCATGGATATAGATTGAACGAGCTTGGACCACTTGTTTTGATTCGGCCTTTGGCTCCATGACTTCTTAGATGCAGATTCTTGCTTCCACCAACGAGCCTCTTCACATTTGTTGGCGCGGGCACGTGTGTTCTTGAGGATTCTTAGTGGCTACGGGACACTGGGAATCCCATTTTGGGAGTCCCCCTCTTTGTAGACGCACTCCTGCTTGGTCAGCGGCCTTTCAACGAAGCCTTTGGCTTTTTGGACACGAAAAGCTTCGGAAATTGCGGGAGTCTAGGGAGCTGCTACTGTTGACCTCAGATGAATCAACCCCAGTTTATTTGTACGGTGTTCCAAGCGCGATGAATCCCCACCAAACCCAGGTACACCCTATTATATAATAAACTGGGGTTTATAAGTCCAAAGGCCTTCTGTTTTTGCTTATATAGAGGCATCTCTACCCTGGAGGTATCCCTACCCTCTACGGAATGTATGGAAAGGGGAGTCTAAACCAAATAGAGGGGCCCATATTATATGCTTCCTTTGTGGGGGCTTCATATAAGTATATGGCAGGCAGTCAGCATGCTGTATTGACAGCTTTAAACGTGTGCATCAAATTACCCGTTCTTGTTTGTTTTGTTTTTCCTTTTTTATGCTGGCATCTTGTACAAATGAGAGTACGTGAGAGTCCAAGCGAAGTGGCACACAGGATAAGGAACCCCCATATCTGGGGCCGGGTATCTAGGAATTCACCCCATATCGAACAGCGTTCACCCCAAAAGACCATTATGTTAGCTGTGCCGCTCGATTCTTTGCAGGGATCCTTTTTCTTTAAGCAAACATGAGCAGAATTGCATTAATCAATTCAGAACATCTTATTCATAAGCCAGGTGCTCCTTCACCCATTCGGGTCGCTAAATCCGGGCGAGACGGGGCCATGGGCGAGTCGGTTTCCAGGGAAGCACCATGAGAGCGGGCCTCAGCTGCAACCCGAGTCGCACCCCGGAAACCGGCCTTGTTGGTGGCTGAAAAGTCGAGTTTCGATTCCTGGCTTACCTGGTGGTGTAAATCATCTACCAGGGATATCCATCGATTTTTGCATTTTAAATGGACACCTCTGGAAGTGGACACTTGGGGGTAATTAAAAAACATCTCCCCTGCCGCCCCATGAAACCCAGCGAAAAGGGGACCTCTTCGACTCACGAGTGCGAGGTCCGAGAAACAGAAACAGCTCACGGCTTCGGTTTTATGGGGATACACCTTGGCCAAATTAGGCACAACTAGTCCCAGTCCCTGGTGTACAGGGCTCCCATGGGTCAACACCAATGGGATCCCGTTTTGGTTGGTAGGTGAATTCACCACCCATGTTAGGCGTTATTTTAGTGGGGATTGGGATGTTCACTGGGCGTAGAGGGTTTGACCCATAGGCATATGTTGTGTGGTGATGTTTCGGTGCATCTTGGGACCCTAGCTGTTTCAAGCCACTTTCAATCGCTTCGATTTCCCGGCGTTGAAGGGTAATGGTCATGCGTTACCTCAAGCGCCCACGATCGGTTGGGCCTGACAGTCTCAGGCAGAGATGGTTCCAAGGCAGCGAAGCGCAAGCAAGCGAGCGCGAAGGGAAGGATGGTTCACCCAGGGTTACACTTTTTGCGACCCCAGGGTAGACTTAAAGAATGAACCACCCCTGGGTTTAAGTCTACCCTGGTAGTCAAAAAGTGGAACCCTGGGTTCACCCATCCAAAACCTTGGTCTTAATCTACTCCAAGGGGTTCAGGCAGCCAGGCATACCGATCTAAGAATACACAGGGAGACGAAGCCTTGGGCAAAAGATGTGCCGTCTGACAACCGCACACCCAGCGTGCTTGCTTGCCTCAACTTTGCAACCAGTTATGCCAACAAACGATGCGTGTGGATCAGTTTGCTCTTGGTCAGATGTTGGCTCACTTGCGACCCCGCATCAAACCAAAAGTGAAGGGTGTTTTTCTTCCACGGCATAGCTCCCTATTGCCCTCCAACATGGACCCTGATGGGGTCCTGGAAGACCATGCTCCTTTAAAAAGGAGGCTCTGGTGAGTGACATGGCAACGTGAACAGGATAATCTCACTTTCTGAGTTCCTGGACAATCTTTTTGGGAGGACCATTATAGTGGTAAATAGAAGCAGATGATCTAAATACAACGCTTGGACCTTCTAATCGCGCCATCTACTCAAGGAGCGAGTTTAATCAAGCAAATATGATTGATGCGGAGTCGAATTTATACAATCCGTACATGGCTGGGGACCGGCCCGTGGCAGGTCAAAGCTCGACGAGAAGCGGCAGAGAGTATCGTGAGAGAAATGTGTGTTACGGCGCGGGACCGGTGCTGCCTACTTTGTTCCTCTCAGAAAGCCCTCAGGTCCACCAAGAGTTCAAGAACGGGGGGTGTGGGGGCGTAGTAGGTCTAGGACCTCATGGAAGATTTTGGAAAATGGGCGAGCCACTGCTACCCAGTTGCCCGGTGGGTAAAACGCCCCGCCATTTTCAGCCGAAACACAATCCAGAATCCGTATTTTGATGGTTAAGGGACAATCCCAAGCAAAAAGAGGCACGCATATCCGCATATCCACCCTTGTTCTTTACCTTCCGGGTTAGCTTCACTTTGGCTTTGGGTGACGCTGATTCGGTTTCTTCTTCTTCTTCTCCTTCTTTTGGCGGGTTTGAAAAAGATCCGTTTTGGAGTCCTTTTCAACCGCTGGCATCCAAGGGCCTCGAAGGCTTCTACTTTGGGTGCCGCGTATCCGAAGTTGGATCAGTTTGATTTGCAAAGGCTCCCAAACCTTCCATTTGGTTAAGATTTTGTTTTGTGATTTTCTCCGGTTTTAAAGGGAATCGTTCACCACTGGAATAGTTTTTTTTTCCAGGGGACTTAAGCAAATAGAGGAAACTGGTTGCTTGAACAGAACAATCCCCAAGCATTTCTTGGCGAGTCAAACCTGGAGAAGATGCGCAAGTCACTTTCCGCCGGATGAGTAGCTGGCTCGGTGAAGAAATCAAGCTGCCAAAGAGTAAAGACTTTGCTTGGATCTTTGAAAGATTATATGGTTCTGTTTCTCTTCGAAAGGAATCGAGGGCTGCCTAAGCTCTACTTCAAGGTTTGGTGACTATTTGTTAGCTGACAGAAGTACCCCCAATCGACGGTTTTGTTCACGTGCCCAAACCCTGAAGGTCTGCATTTCGGATAGTAATGTGAGGAGCTGATTGACGACGAATAGTTTGCTCTCTTGAGCACAACAAAACTTGGCTTTGACATACCCCAACCCCCATGTTGATTCCAGCTTTAGGCCGTTACCTTCGCTCCGGTTTGGGAGGCAACATCCTGAAGGAGTCGCAGGCGTAGTTCCTCAGTGCCTTCATCAAGATTGTAGTCAATCAAATCGAAAGGCACCGATCAAAAAGCCCCCAACCCCATGTTGATTCCATGTGAATGGTCCTTCTGCCATCGCCCAGGTTCTTTGGGGGGCAAGATCCTCGGTAAACGAGCAGGATGGTTTAGGTTCGATGCGGCTCCTGGCTTCCGATGGCCGACCTGCGTTTGGAGATCCGAACGTTGAGCGGGGGGCTGCTGCTAGAGGCGAAACTGCCACACGGCGCCACTGGGGCACAGCTGTAGCTCGGCGGATTCCCAGAACCCGGTTTACCGCCGGTTCTCAGCCGGGAATTAGAATGGCCCCCATAGACCAACTGGTGGTTTCCTTAGGAATCCCCTTCCGGTTTCCCAAACCCTGGGTCCCGACTGAGCACCAGCAAGTGTGGGGGTGTCTCAAAATGGCAACCAATACCAACGGTTTCATTTGGGGTTCAACCAAAAGGGCTGCCTCAACAAAAGACACACGCCACAAGCCAACATACGGTTATAAACATGGTTTGTCGGGAAGCTGGGGTTAGGGCCTTAAGACCATGGCAAAATATATAACCTGTAGTTTGAACATCCAAGTATTGTTTGGTCAAAAGGGGTACCCCAAAGGAATCGATCTTTGTGCGTGTTGTTTTGCCTTTCGGGACGTGGTTTGAACCACCGACCAATTTTGGTTTTCGCGCGTCAGTGCGACCACCCACACCACAATGAACGCGGGCAGTGAAATTCTGTCGAGGCGCTGCTGCAAAGCTTTGAGCAAGTTGTAGTCCATCTCCAAGTATGGTCACACCGATCAAGTGAAACAAAAGCAAAACGCCTGAGAGCAGATTGTTGCCCCCAAACAGCAGCTTTCCTTGAAGCAACTATTTTTTTTCACACACGTAGGGCCTCCCAGAAGGGTGACTGTCCAAAAGATCCCGACTAGGTCCCCCAGTAGTGCCCTTTTGCCATTTCTTTTTTGGGGGAGGGTTCCCCTACTAAATAGACAAAAAAGAAAAACAGTTACCATGGTTACCCTTATTCTAACCTCTCTACTGGACCTAGCCAACTTAGGCACGAGTTGGTGAACGCCACCGCCACTTTGGCCACTGAGTGGCGGCTTGTGCGCCTCGGACCTTCGCGGAAGCGCCCGCGGAAGCGGGCGCTGTGACGTTTTTTTTTTTTTTTGGGGGGGGGTGGGCTGGAAAAAAAAGAAGGGTGTGTCTGGGATTGCCGGAAAACGGGACTCCATGTTTCTCATTGGGTTTTGGGTGGAAACATTTAAATATTTCGTCTTCTTTTGCCGCAGGGGTGCCGAAGATAGTCGTGTTAGGGGCTGTCTGAGAAGAAGTAGTTCTTTGGGAGTTGCCAACAAAAACCAGCTGACACCTTCCCAGCAAAGTGCTTGCTTTTGTTATGACTTCCATGGGCTTTCCTGTTATGTTCCTTTCTGAACATGTTTTTTTTAATTATGGTGCAAAATTAATGGCTTTTAGGAAAAATCATTGTCAACCTCGCCTTGGGTTGACCAAATTCACCGTCCAATCATTGTCAGACTTCTGTATCCGTTTTGCCCGTTTGCCCCTTCACTTTCCTGAAAGACTAACTTTTGGGGGCCTAAATCTGCTCAAGCTATCTGGAACATGGCCAAAACGGACGGGGAGACAGTTTGATAGCCTGCAATGCACGTATTGAGGCACTACTTGCAGCCTGACGGCTCGAAATACCTAAAGAGCCAGCACTTCCCAAGGCCACCAAAACAAAAAACATGGTGTGATATTGGGTACTCTACGAGGTCTGAAACAGGTGTGTCCAACAGTTGGACATTTTAGAATGACTGCCCCCTTCACCCACCCACGTTTCTTGGTATGATGTTAACCACTCACTAAAACAGGAGGTATTTGCCGTGGAAACATGTGTTTCTCATACTATATCTTAAAAGAAACGAGTATTTGAAATAAAGGGTATTTTATCCTTTTGCTTCCCTTTGACCACCGAAAGCGATACTGCAAGATTTGGATCAATGCTTCAACACAACTTCAAGTACACCCCAGAGAACCACATCAGAGGCTTGTAACTAGGACGTACAGACCAGAACAGGGTGATACACAGCCCAGAAGATTGCGTGTTTGCAGCAGACAGCGCAAAGGGGACGGACAATTGTGACGTTTTTCCATACCCATATTCAGCAGCTGCAAGAGGTCGATGTGCGACTCCAACCAACAGGGGCGACATGTGCCAGGCCTACAACTTGCCTGCTGAGACTTGAATCCGTTTGGTAAGTGGTCCATGAGGAATCTGTTTGGTCGGTGCGTCCATAAGGCCCAAAGAGTTCAGAGCTTTGGCCACTCAACTCACAAGGCCGGGGGTGGTTCTCATTCAGAGAGCCCACGGAGGCCCTGGCGGGTTTGGATTTCAGGCGGTTTCAGGCAGAAACGCAGCCGGATGAGCCCGATGTGCTGAGAGGTGTGCGCCGGCTCAAACAACACTCCTGCCTGTCGGGATAGCCCAAGCGGAACCGTTTGCGCGATCCGGCCGCCGAGCTCCATAGGTGTCCTTTTTAGTTGTTTTGTTCGAAAAATAGATGGTTTCCCCTGGTAATCCCTGGTATACCTGGTGGTTTAATCATCCAGGGCCATCTATTTTTGCTACTCCTAGGAGCACTGGCCCATTTTGGTCCTAGGCATCGGGGCTCGGAGTTGGAGCTGCAGCAGCCCTTGGCGGCGGAGGATGGCGAGACCATCTTCGCGGCCGCGAAGCCCCATGCCACCGAGGAGCCAACTCGCTGGGTGCACAGACACGGACTTTTACTAGGTCCCCCAGCCAGGTGCCCTCCTCTACCGTTTCTTTTTTGGTTGGAAGGGGTCCCCGATAATAGACTAACGGAAAAACAGGGTAGCCTTCTTCTAACCTCTCAAATCTGGAGGACCTGGTTTAGGTGGGACACGGGTGATGGTCCCCTGGCTACAATGGTGGAGACCGAGTGGCTATGTTGCCACTGAAAAGGTGGGCTTCAACATCACCTCTTGGTTTGGGGAGGTTTGGGAGTTTAAACAGCAGCTTTTGGTTTTGCCAATTTCAAGTGAGTGTCCTTTTGAAGAGATGTTTGAAAGGGGTGAGAAAGACAACATTGGGGAACCCTATTCTGGACCGCGTTTGGGTGCCGCCGAGACGTGCCACCGAGATGTGCCGCCAAGCAACAAGGGATGCCAAAAAGGGGCACAAACATTGACAACCCCCTGACGTTGCTTACCTGTTTAACATGTTGCTAGAAGAGGAACACCCACGGACATAGATATGGTGTGTTTTGCCTTATTAGGACCCTCAGATGTCTACATTGCCATTCTCTTTGGAGCAACCCTTATGAAACTGAGACAAGCCTGCAAAACTGGCTGGTGCTCAGGGAATGAGGGAATGACTTTTTTTTGTTTTGGTCTTTTGAGGTTGCCACGTCCAATGTTCGGCGGCGCCAGCAAATGAATTCT